TTTTCGACTAGGTAGAAAATTGGACCTTAAAAATTAAAAAAAAAAAAACAAAATCAGTTTGGGGCCATTTGTTTAATCTGGTCCTAACAAAACTCCACATTGAATTTGTTGCATAAAATATTGTTCAAATGAAATATTGAATCAATTTTGGTCTTTTAATTTCCAGCAGGTCTGGTCAAAGGTTCTTCCTTGTGATCGAGGTTTTCTAACCAATGCTAAGCCCAATTAGCCTTTCCCTATTAAGAAAAAGAGTCACAATTTTACTTAAGGCAATTTTGACAATATTCAAACAGCTAGCTAAGTTTCGTTTGCTCTTAATTACTTGAGAACCGTAAGCATTCCTACATGACTTACCCCTCTTTTTTATCTTGTAAAGCTTTTTGGATGAATAAATAATCTTCTTACGTATAACATCACAGAGCTTCAGCATGCATGACAAAGAAAGGATTACTATGAGAAGAATATATATACATCACAGAGCTTCAGCATGCATGACAAAGAAAGGATTACTATGAGAAGAATATATATACTAATATTAAAAAGAAGTTCTGAAAGGAAAAAGAAAGTGTACTAATCTTAATGCCAAAAGAATACTGGTTTTCTTATTACATCACTCTGATCGTTTTGGCCAGGAACATAGAATTTGGACAATTAAGTTGTTCACGCAATAAGCACCTTCCATCCCTACTCACCGCCATGACCTCCAAAGCTCTCTCTCTCTCTCTCTAAATTGTCAAGAGTTTTTTTCTTTGAATTTATAGGATTGTAAATGGCTTATCATCATGATATATATCTATTATTATCTATTATATATCAGCGATCTCTATCTCACAACTTACATGACAATCTGCATGTCTAAGAGGTAAAGCAAAGTTTAATGTCAAAACTCAGAAACCTAGCCTAACACAAAGTTGCACGTCTTCAACATCTAGCCTGACAGCAAAAAACTGAACTTCCCTTCTTCCTTTTTCCTTGATCCTAACAGATTCTACGAGCAAGCCAAGCAGTGCTTTTTTAAAATCCACCAAAAAGGTGTGCCTTCAAAGTTAGTCTAAGTTAATTACTGGATAGGCTTTTGGTCTAATTTTTTGTTTTGAGTAATTGACAGAAAGATTTAGCACAGAAAAGGGGCAAACCTTCTTTCTGATCTTAATTCTCTATATCTCTCTGACAAGAAAGAGGAAGTATAGTGCAATCATGGGGCGTAGCAAGATGGAGATGAAGTTGATTGAGGACACAACTAACAGGCAAGTCACATTCTCAAAATTTCGAGCAGGTTTGCTTAAGAAAGACCATGAAGTTTCTGTGCTTTGTGATGCCGAAATTGGGCTCATTATCTTCTCAAGCACTGGGGAGTTGTTTGCCTACTGCACTCAACCACTAAGGTTCCAGTACTTTTGTTTCACACTCTCTTTAATCTTCATTGTTATGTTTCTTCCTCTTTAACTACTGTTATCCATCTCATGAAGATACTTCCTTTTGTTTGAAGATGATCATTTTCTTTATATCCTACAGCATGGAACAAATCATAGAAAGATATCAACTTGCCAAAGGAACTCAAACTCCTCAACAGAGTGACTTGGTAAATCCTTCTCAGTTAATCAACATTTAAACATTTGAATATCTAACTTGAATTTTGATGATCTTCGTTCTAAACGTGAAAATGCAGCAAAAGATGTCTGAGAAACAAAGAAGAGAAAGTCATTGTTCGGAACCGAGCTTGAACCACCTCAATGGCAGTGAGTTGAATTCCTTAAAAATTGAGGATTTAGAGGAGCTTGAACAGCAACTGGAATGCTCAATTAACAAGGTCCGAGCTAGGAAGGTATCTCTCTCCCCACCCCCTCCCCCCCCTTTTGTTCCCTTCTTTCTCATTATTATGAGTGTGTGAACAGATGCAAAATGTTGAAGAATCTGCCATTAAATGATCATAGTTAATTACAATTTGAAAGGAGATGGCTTGGATTTGGTATTAAGAAAACATCTTCTTACCTTTCACATAATCTTATCGCGCAGGAGCAGCTCTTGAAACTGCAAATGGACAATCTAGAAAGAAACGTAAGACTAAACCTTTGCCTGATGTGTGCATGCACCAACAATATTATTAATCAGAACCTAGTTAAGATTTACAGTTTTAATTTGTCCTTTCTGTGAATATATGTCCAGCTTGAAAAAATGGAAGCGGAAAACAACCAACTTTGCCATTGGGTGAGTACATGGTCTAAAAATTAATTACCTTGGAAAAGATCAATGTATAGCTTGTAAAAGCTGTTACATAAGTAACAGTTATGTGGTGTTTGTTGTTAATCAGATTGAGGGGAAGCAGGTGTCATCAAGGCAGCAACAAGTTCCAATTGAAGCAAACATGCTGGAAGAGAAGCAACAGCAAGTGTTGAATCAGTTCCCATTCATTGGGGAAGAGCAACCAATTAGCATGCTTCAGCTTGTAAGTCTGCCTCCCTCTCGCCCATATCTCTGCCAACCAATGCAGAGCAACCTTCAAGAAGCAAATACCCATCATCAATAGGTCTGGTATCATTCCATATTTGATATTCCCATAAGATCAAGTATATAATTCATTTTAGTACCCTTCCTTTATTTATAATATACAAACATAATTTGCTTTTTCCTGTCTGCAGATTGGTTAAGCTTAATTGCCTCTGAGGAATATTTACATGATAAAGAAGAGAAGAACGGAAGTCGATCTTTCTTGAAATAATGAAATGTAAATCTCTTAGTATTAGGCTCTGTTATGTTCACAAAAGTTTATATGTGTCCAGCTTTTTATCATACTTAAACCACAAAAGTTTATACATGTCCAGTTTTTTATCACACTCGAACTTAAATTTTATAATTAATCATTCTTTTTTTTTATCCATTTACACATTTTCATCTCATGCAATTGCATCCCTTGTTGTTAAACTAAAATTCTAATTTCATGCAATCGAATCCTTTTGCCTTGTAACTATATTGATTCCCATAAATTTGGCATTCTTAATTCATGCAATTATGTCCTCCAATAGTTTCTCCTCTAAATAAATTTAAATTTTTAAAAAATAAATATTTATATTAATTTTTTTTAAAATTTTATCTTTAAATATTTATGATATATATATATAATTAGCAAACATAATCATAAGTAATTAACAACAAATTGCAGAACAACTTGAACAAACTTTAGTAGACCATAACAAAAATAGCTCGAAACCAAAGGAATCAAACCACAAATATTGCAAAAATTTGAGACTCCACCATTTGTTTTGAAGTAAAATACTTATCAGAAAATATTTTTAATACTTATACTTGTTTACAGGACGAAAAGTTTATTTCAAATGTAAAATATTTTACAAGTTAATGATTACGGAAAATGTCTTATGTCTATGATAAGCATAAGATATTTTTCAGAACAAAAAACTCTTATACTAATTTTTGAAATATAAATTTAATAAATATTAATTTTTAACTTAAAATATATTAATATTTAACTTAAAATTTTTTTAACTTAAAATATTAATATTTAAATTCTTCAATACTATTAAAATAAAAAAATATTTTTTAATGAAACTATTGAATGCAATTAAATTTTTTATTTATAAATTGAATAAATCTTACTAATAATTATAATAAAATATATTTTAATTATTTTTATTTGATGAAAATATATAGTTATAGGTTTTGGATGTCTTATACCATTGATAAATATTAATATTTTTATAGTGAATACACATAAATATAAGTTTTGGATGTCTTGATAAATATTTATATTTTATAATGTTATGATAAAAACTTGATGCGGTAGAAAGTGTTTTGAAAATTAGAGCCTACTTTAATTATAAACTAGTTTGTATAAGAGTTAAGCATCCTATAAATGACTATATTGCACTAATCATTAAATAAAATACTCATATATGAACATACTTAATTGATATATGTAAGCATCCATTAATCGGATCCAAACAACTTAATTGTTGTAAACCATTTTTCATTCAAAGGAAGATAATTTACCAAAGAAAGTTTTGGGTTCTCTACAAAGCCGATGGTGGAAGTACTATTGGCAATAGGGAGCACAAATGGTCCAACAAGGTGTAAGGCTATTATCAGGGTTTGCTACCAACTTGACAAGCCATGCATCCATCCAACTTCTACTATTTCAATCTTATGGGTCAACAATAAAGGATAGCCTATCCTTCAAAGCCTATACCCCAACAAATATGAATAAATATGATTTCACAAGATTGAGACAAAAGGTAAGAATCTAATCCATCATTTAAAATCTCAAGATTGAGGATAAAATAAGGAAATTAATAGAGAAATTTATAAATCTATGTAAGATAGAAAAATGGATAAAGAAAGATTATACTTGAAAATAGAAGAACTCAAAAATAAAAAACCAAAGCTCTAGCCCACACGTTTAGAGCGAAAATCCAAAAAATTCAAACCCAAGTCTAGAAATCTCCAAACTTAATCAACCCACATGTCAATAAACTAGAGTTCCATATGACACAAAACTATTACTCCACATGGCATAAAGATAAGCCACTAGTTTCTTTTATATATTGATATATGGTTAAATGTTTTGAGAAATATTATTATTGATTTTACCTATTTTCATATCAATTTTTTATTTTGATTGGAAATTAGTAAAAATCAAATAACACCATTGCTTTGTAATTAACTCTTATTTATTATTTTAACACCTAAATAACTCCACTAGTGATAGCCAAAAATATTTTTCAAATAATCCAAAGAAAAATACTTTTAGATGATCCAAACGATAAAAAATATTTTCGATAATTTATCCAAGTAACAAAAAATATTAAATTTTTTTATAAAATATTTTACATTGAAAATTTCTTTTATTTGACAAGTTATTTTTCGATTATCAAACATACCGTTAATTAATTAAGTTGAAGAATTTGATTTGAAATCCATATTAAAAATAATGAATTTTTGTCCAATTTGTGAGAACTTGTTATAGTATTAGTTATTTTTCGATTACCAAATATCATAAAGTAGTTCGTTCAGTATTTGTTCCTCCTGTTGGTTCTTGATTGCTAAATGATGAAGTCAATTTTGGTAGCAGATAAGATCTGACGCTTTACATACTGATCTCTTTTCTTGCTCTTATTGTCATTGTTTTATTTCACTATCCTCCTTTTTTAAACTCTATGTTTGTTTTCGCTGCAACATGTCCCATTTGTAGCTTTGGGAGGTCTTATTTCATACAGGTTAAAGATACGGTCAGCTAATGAGTCAGCAACAACATTCTATCAGTGCTTGAGATGTTATCAGATTTGGCGTGAGGGTTAAGTTCATCTTATATTAGATGCAATGATTAGGGTTTTTTTTTATAATTGGGGAAGGGTACATCAACTAATAAGTCAAATACTCAAATGCGAATACTCAGATGCGATGAAATGATTAAGGTTATGCAAGGATAGATTAGGGTTATGCAAGGATAGATATTATGATAAGGTTTAAATTTTGGGTTACTTTTTAGGATTTTGGGAGATTGAGTTGTTTTGATAACAATTGCAATGGAGAAATTCTTAATGATTACTTCTTTATTATAAGTTGATTATGTTTTAGATTCTTGGTTTAATTAGTTAGTTGGCATTTTGCCCCTTTAATTGGATATGTCATTGGTAACTTTGAAACTTCTGTATGTGAAAAGAGAATTTCAATTAAATCTATAACACATCAAAGTAAATCAAATCTGTCAATCCATGTATTTGCAACTCAAACAAAATGCAGATCAGTATCAAAACATGAAGCTTGAAATTTTGCAAACCTATGCTTATTATTGGTAGCTTACTAGCTTTTTTCATTCTTTCTCTGGTTCAGGCACTTTCCAAGAATTGCCGACTCACTTACATCTTAAAGTCATTATAGATGTTTTAACTCAACCTAAGATTATAAAAACTTAAAGTTTATAAAACCTAAGTCTTGTTCTGATAGCCAAATAACAATAAGCATAATAGATAAGAGATGAGGCAATGTTGTCAGCTGTTGTGCAAAATTATATGCAGCACCATTTCCATTCTCTATAAAGACCAAAAGATCTGGTTCTGAGCACAAAATTTGCTGTTCGCTTTTTGATAACCAACTACAACACATGACCTTTAATGTTATTAATTGAGAAAAATTAAGTATATTTTGGTCACCAAGAGACAATGATACCAAGAGAGAAGAATTAAGTACATTTTGGTCGCCTTGAGAGAAGAACTTGGACTTCGATTAAATAGAAAGCTATGCCAAAAGATTTGACAGAAAAATTAACTGGCGACAGTGTTAGACTAATGTAATAACTAACTACATCAAGATGACCTAAATATTATTTTGGTCACCTACAGAGAATAATTTAATTAGTTTGCTTGGACTGAAACTAAAAATTCAAGTCGATGATTAAAGAAAAAGCTATTTTTACAATATTAAAATACTGTGCATATACATATGTAATCTGTCTTCTACTTTAAAAAACTTAATTTTTGTTGTGAAAAAGGATGAACAGTATTTAATTGATACCTAGCATTGTTCATTAACGACACATCTAAACCCAAGTCAAGACTCAATTACATATATTCCTACATATTAATCACAATACTTGCACGTAAATTCTCCGTGCATTGACGATTAAAACTTAAACATCTTAAAATTTTGAATGCAAAAAACAAAGGTTTGAAGTTTTGAACTAACGTTGGAATTAGCTGTGTATGAGGTTTAAAATTATCAAAGTCAGGTACAAAACTTTGAGTTTTAATTAATTTGGCAATAGGTTAAGTAATTTATTTAAAATCTAAATATGATGTTAAGTAATGGATACTCTCGTAAATAACTATTGCGGTGGCCGGTTCGCAGAATTAATAGGGGGTTCCCGGTTGGAAAATATGAGCGGGACCCGCACTCGACAAGGGGCAGTCAAGCACGAACAATAAAGAGGCGATTGTGCGTGAAAGACGCTTATATCCAACTGGACCACACCGCCGGAGCGTGATCTTGTCTCTTCTTTCGAAACTTTATGCTTTTTTCTCCACGCGCTTGGCGCTTCTAACCTGATCACGGGCCTTCCTACAATTTGTTACCCAAGCCCTATTTTTCCTTACATAATTCACGTTTTTCCCACACCTAAATCTTGTTATATTTGTACATTGAATCAATTTATTTGGTCACTTTAAACGTGAGTGGGAAGATTTTCATATAAGAACCAAACAATTGAATCAAATCCATTCACGTTACTAAAAGGAAAAAGAAATTAATTCATCAGCAAATTCAAGGAGGAAAAAGAATTCTTCAGGAACGATGACTTGTACATCTCTAAAGACTATAGCAACTTGGTATAGCAATTAGCACAGGAGTTTCCTGTCCCGAGAAAATTAGAATCCTTTTAAAAAACTGCCACCCCATTACACGCTCCAGGAATTGCGCGTGTGGATCCCCCACTCCCAAATCCAAATATCCCGTCGGCGATAATGATAGCTCTTCGTTTAAAAGTTTGTTGTTTTTTTAATTACTTCTTAAGCTCCGCTTATCCAATGCAAACTTTTTTTTCCCCTGTTTTTGGGTTAGTTACCCAAATTTTCCAGTGATTAGAACTCCTGCTGCCTCAGAATTTAACAAGGCCAGTAAAACCTAAACCAAAAGGTGATATTAAAATGCGGATTGCGTTATGGGGGGAGAATTTGGGATTGGTATAAACCTGAAGAGAAAATCGAATCGCGGAAGAAATAACCCTATGGAATTGGAATCTCGGGAACTGGAGAAAGATATGCGTTTGATCGTGGCCATCGGATGCCGATTCCGATTCCGATCGGCATTCGATTCGTACTCGGTAGCTTGTGAGGCATTCTCTGAAAAACAACAACAGATTCTCTCCTCGTCGCGTTCGCTTCCAATCGGGGTCAAAATTGACCTCTAATAGCGTTTCCTGCCCATTTTTTTCCGGCTTTTCTTTTATTCTTTTGTTTTTTGTGAATTTTGGGCTCTTCTTGTTGTTGGAAATTTCGATCGGATTTCGTTGGTTCTGGCGGCGGTTAGTTCTTTGTACATAGAAAGAATGGAGGCGGGTGATGATTGTGATTTCGCTGAGAAAGATCCGTCGGGTCGGTACATTCGGGTATGATCTTTTGGCTTTGAATACCTGTTGTCGTATATATATTTTTTTTCGGTTTCGCTTTGTTGGGGTACTTAGCATCTGTTTGGTTCCCAAGAAACTTGAAGGAAACAAATTTGACTTATAATTATCGACTTCTGAAGGAAATTGTCAAACTTTCTTATAATAATCAAATCCTGTTCATTAAATAGGCTTAATTTAGTAGAAATTTTGTTATATTGCAGTCCAAGCTAATTTTCTTAGCAACCAAACAGCGTTAAGTTTGAGTGATGCCATGAATGCACCGAAATTTAACCGCATTTGATTATCCCTAGCATCTACCAAGTTAATAAATTTGGAAATATCCATCTATCGCTCTTTGTACAACTTTTGTAAGTCATATTTTCTTGCCTTTTGTTATGAAGGAAAAATAATTGCTTTTTGTACTTCCATTTGAATGAACATGACAAAATTTCATTCTAAATAATGTCTTGAACAAAATTAAGCTTAATATATATATGTGGCCAACCAAATTGCCAATGTCGGTCCTAGTTATGCTTAAAAATTTATATTTCCCTTAAATAGTTTGCTTTATCAGAATTTAAATTCGTTTGCTCTTTTGGTTTTACTGATACAATCTTTGGTTTACTTTTGTTTTTATTCCTTCAGTATGATGAGATCCTGGGGAAGGGAGCTTTCAAGACTGTGTATGGTTTCAAGTCCTATTTTCCTTAAATTTGCCTAACTTTAATAGGAATGTATGTTTGATGATTGTACTGTTTTGGCTGCTTCATTGTTATTTGTAGTTATAAGGGATTTGATGAAGCTGATGGAATAGAGGTTGCATGGAACCAAGTCAATATTGAAGATGTCTTGCAGACGCCTGAACAGTTGGAAAGGTTATATTCAGAGGTTCATCTTTTGAAGTCATTGAAACATGAAAATATTATGAAGTTCTACAACTCCTGGGTGGATGATAAGAGCAAGACCATTAACATGATAACAGAGTTGTTTACTTCGGGGAGTTTGAGGCAGTGAGTTCCATCAACTTCTTTTCTTTTCCCATTCATTTGCGGTTGGCTTTGTATTTCATTTATGATATGCTAAGATTCTCTTTCACTTTTAGATACCGTAAGAAGCATAAGAATGTTGATATGAAGGCCATCAAGAACTGGGCACGGCAGATCCTTAGAGGGTTACACTATCTGCATAGTCACAATCCTCCGATCATTCATAGAGATTTAAAGTGTGATAATATATTTGTAAATGGAAATAATGGAGAAGTCAAGATCGGAGATCTTGGATTGGCAACTGTCATGCAGAAGCCCACTGCCCGAAGTGTGATTGGTACTTCACTTTCTCAAATATAGGTAATGCTATGATTTCAGCTAAATCAATCTGGTTGAAATTTGGAGTGCTTTGTTGTTTGTGCAGGCACTCCCGAATTCATGGCTCCAGAGCTTTATGATGAGGAATATAATGAACTTGTTGACATCTATTCTTTTGGTCTGTGCATGTTGGAGATGGTTACTTGTGAATATCCTTATAATGAATGCAAAAATCCAGCACAAATATATAAGAAAGTTACCTCTGTAAGTTGATGAGTATCCTAATTCTTCACATCTTACACAATTCTCTTTTCAAGTGGTTGTTTAAACGCTCTCAACATCTGTCCCTGCAGGGTATTAAGCCTGCTTCCCTTGGTAAAGTGAATAATCCCCAAGTTAAGCAGTTTATTGAGAAATGTCTTCTTCCAGCATCTATGAGATTGCCAGCTGTGGAGCTCTTGAAAGATCCATTCCTTTTGGCTGAAACTCCCAAGGAAGTTGCCTGTGGTCCACTGCAGTTACCAAATCTTATGCCCAAATTAGTTAATTTGATCCAGTCTGAACCTCTTCCAATGGACATAGTTCCTAACTCCAAAAAGCTTCAGGTCAATTCTTCTACAAAAAGCATCGAAGAAACTCCTCGAATTTCGACTCTTGAGCTACAGTGTTTCACTGAGAATAATGAATTTATGTTGAAAGGGGAGAAAAATGATGATAATACAATTTCATTGACCTTGCGCATTGCTGATCAATGTGGTAAGTGAATCTACTATACAATTAGACTTGCTCTCTTCTTTATGATCAAAAAAAGAAAAAGAATTATGTGCTATGGGGTGTCTTTTTAACAGGTCGAGCAAGGAATATCCATTTTTCCTTTTATCTAGATTCTGATACTGCTATTTCGATTGCTGCGGAGATGGTTGAACAACTTGATTTGTCAAATGAAGATGTGACTGCCATTGCAGAGTTGATTGATAGCATGATAATGAAGTTTGTACCCTGCTGGAAACCTTCATTTGGAAGCATTTCATGTCTACAAGATGGCTCATGCTGCCCTAGCAAGGCCACTGTTAAGACAGTTGGTGAGCAAGAAGCTTTCAGAGACTTTGCCATTGTGAAATGCCAAGACACCCAAGAATCTGTCAGTTCAGATATGTCAACTGAATGTGATGGAATGGTGGCCTCGGATGGTAGTAACAACAAACCAATGGGATCTTCTGGTTACAGTTATGGTGAGTGCTGTAAAGGTGATTTTGGTTTATTAGATATTGGGGTTTATAACCATCTTAGGCATAAAGAGACTGGTAATGCGGAAAACCTTGGGGAATCTGTTCTGATAAATGACTCCACAAAGAACTCTGAGACATCCTTAATGGATTCTTGTTCTTTTGCATCACAAGATATGAGCTTGTCAAGCATCTGCTCTCTATCCCTAGCAGACAAGGATCAGTTTGATGAGCTGAAGTTGGAGCTCGACGCAATTGATACACAGTATCACCAGTGTTTCCAAGAACTTGTGAGGATGAGAGAAGCAGCAATGGAGAACGCCAAAAAAAGGTGGATAACAAAGAAGAGAGTATCTGTGATGTGATGTACTAGATTTCTTTTGCGGTTAAGTTTTCTCCGCTCTCCTTGGCTGTGATGGTTGGCTTTTTTCCATTTTTTTTGCTGTTACTGTTGCATTGGAAGAAATCATTCCTTGACAGATTTCATTTATTTGGTTTATTGTTAAAAATGGGATAAATCTCTGATTGTAGTCCATTGATTTATCATATTCGTTTCTCTTAATCATTGAGACCTAGATTCCAAGTACTTTAAATATTCTGGATAAAGCACCAAATTGCAAACTTTTCCAATAGGATGATGCCTCCATGTGATTTCAAGTTTTCAAATTCTACTTTTCATAAATGCTTAAATTAACTACTCATTGAGCAAGGGATTGATTATTTGTGTTAAAAGAACAAATATTGAAATGGCCAAATGCGAAAAGGTTTTGTAAAATTTATAATTTTTATTTGATTTAATAATAAATATATATATTTCTTTATTTAAAGAAAAATTTAAACCTTCTTTTATTTTTTGTGTGTGGAAGTTATACTTATTATTACAGAAAATTCTTGATAAATTTCACGTTGTAGATTCAAAAGTTTTACTTAAATATGATATCATTTAGAGTCATAATTGGAGAAGTAGAACACATGCTTTCTATAAAAAACAACAAGCTAGGATGGTCCTCATTGCCTTGCTCCTATTAGTTTCCATAATGTGGAACACATGCTTTCTGCTTGATTAGCGAAAGCAGGACAACTACTTTTGTTCCAAGTGGTAATAAAGCCAAAAACGCAGGCAATCAAGATGGGCAGAATGATTGCACATGCTATTCTCTATTGTTCCCATTTTAATCTCAGTCTCACTAGCAGTACTAATACGCTAGTTTTTAGTTTTAACTTGCTCTCAATTATGAGATTTTTCATTATCCAAATAGTGGTATTTCTTCTTAATCTCTGGCCAGGTGATTGAAGGATCCATATCCTATCCTCACAACCACCCCAATGAGACCAGGGACAACCAGCGGCCCCCAGACGGCGCATCAGTTAGATTGATGATACCTTTGGACCCTTCCATTTGATCAAAATAGAAGCAGTTGGATTTTAAAACCCCTTAACCGGAATTGACCAGCCACTAGAACCGAAGCAACATCACCGTGAAACCAATCTTTTTGATAGAAAGAGCTTATCGACAATAAACAACTTACGAAATTCGGGGATATGCCAACGTGAAGCTGATGGATGGAGCAAATGCAAATTGCGTAAAAGTCAAAACTTAATGCTATTTGTCAAAATATTTGCAAGGTTAAACTCAAGATCAACGTTCCATAGACAGAATCAATGCCACTTATATTACTAAACTAGAGATTTACCATAAAAATGGCATACATTGTGCTTCTATAAGCCAAATAATAGTTTTGGTGAAGTGAAGCCACTGAGGTAGTGATGCCATAATTTTATATAGTCTGCACCATTTGTTTCCCTCCAGCTATTTCCCAGTTGATTGTTCACTTAAACCTGTCTCAATGACTGCACCTCCAAAGGAAAATAAATTGATGTTTTACCCCAGATGTGTAAACAACAGGTAGTTCTGTTGTTTCCCCACAAAAAGAAGCGACAGTTCTGCAACACTGATTCTATGTCAAAAACTTTGAAAACTTGATACTTGCAGTATCTATATATACACATCCAGACAACAAGTGTTTGTTGTCACTCAGGCTCTATCCAGTTTTCATGAAATACAATCTTATTGACACAAACACATGAAGACTTAAGCAAGTCAATCTTGACAACAAACACTTAAAATTGGCTGAACTTTAATAAACGGCCTCAAACATGAAAACTTTCTTTCTACCACATATCTTGCCAGTTACAATAATCACCTGCAGCATATCACTTAGGCGAGTTGCTTCTATCAGCAAGACAAGCTCCTCAATTATTCCACATGCATCATCACATCCCACATTCGATCTAGGCTCAGCCCAAAGAAATATATCTAGTCATTGAAGGAGCATATAAAAATGCCACTGACGATATAATTTGTAGCCATATTATATAACATATACTGTTTCTCAACTCCAATCACATCAATCAAAAGCCATTGGCAAATAAACCTGGTAAGGATCTAATGATAACATAATAAGCAAATTCATAACTGTGAATGCAATTTACTTTCTATACACTGGATTAGCAGGTGCAGACTACAAGAAGAGAAATGATCACAGATCATCAATGACATCTACATTGGGCCACATTTGGAAAGCAGAAGTCACACAAACAATATGTTTCCACAAAGAGAAAAGTTAGAAATGAATAAATTTTACTAAATGCAGCTTCAATTACATGCCGAAATACAAGCAACATAGGGAGAATTATTCACAATTTTATTAACAAAATGAATAATATCCAGTACAATATCCACACAAGGAACACAAGAAGAATGCACAGGGAAGAACAATACGTAAATATTTTCAATTGGGAAGAAAAAAAACACGCAAAGGCATCCATACACTTGCTAGATCAGGAGAATCATCCAGAAAATTTACACGGTTACTACCAGTTTTCTTTGACTATTTTTGACTTCTCAAGAATGAATTTCCCTTCCTTGTACTTCTGAGTTTCCTCATAAGCCCGCTCATATTTCCAACCCAACACCTCTCGGCAATCACAGCAGTAGACATCAGCCACCGTGTGAAGACCAGTCATCAATTGTCTATCCTCCTTAGGACCCACCATTATGTTCATTGCATGGGAGAACAAAAAGGCTCGACCATTTCTACCCTGAAATTCACATCATAAATGAACTTTTGTAACATTATCTATGGAATGTTTTCAGCATAACAGATTTTCTGTATAAGAAAAGTAGAAACTGAAATGAAGTTTGACTTCGTGAGCCTAATGCAAGATCAAGAGCAAGAGTGAGTCCTTAGACAAATTATAGTCCTAACTCTGAAAAGACAGAAAATGCATTCAAGCAATAAGGAAAGGGTAAATGTTTTTCATAAGCAAGTTTCTACTTTTCCCTTTCATTTTCCTGATAGCCTCTGAAATAGATCATCTTTTAGTCTATTAATGGAATCAGCAACAATAAATCCAACAGAGAGGCATAAATGCAGCAACATTTGTATTGAGTTCTCTACCTGAAAAGATTTCGATATAACATCATCGTGAAGGGCAACTTGGTTTCTGCAATTGCAGCAACTGTACAACCTTGGGCCAACCATTTCCGCCATTTGACAATTATTTATTAGCACTCAACTCCTTGCTACTCCCACAAAAAAAGAATTATCCTTTCAGAAATCATAAGAAAAGAAACAAAACAGAGTCAATATAAAATTGATCATAATTATCACAAAAAAGATAGTAAAATTGATCATAATCTTACCTTGCGTACAACAACAAACTATACAATATAAACTGCCAATCAACCTTTGTTTAACAAAATAACTGCACCCAAAGCCAAAACAGAGTACTTGAAAATGAGAATGAAGAAATGAATAAAGAAAAAAAAAGCAAGTCAGTGAGGATTTAAGAGACTAAATTGTGATCTTAGATAAGATATAATAGACATGGAAAATCATTGATAAAGAGACTGATAAAGATAGCACCGGTGCCATAAATTCACTGTTAATAAGGTATAAACGATGATACCCGATTTAACAAAATTGAAAGATGAGGTTCAAGAAACAAGTTAAAAGCTAAAACCCAATAATTAAAAACCAGCTCATAATACAAAAGAAAGAAGGATATAAACTGGAATTGTTAAAAGCAATAACCAAAACAAGTCAAAGATCACCAAAGAAAAGCCCAGATTTTCAAGAACTCATCATTTCAGAAAATAAGTGAAAATCTTAAACCCTGTAATCAGAAAAAACCAAAAGAGAGAAGCCCATGAAAGATCGACACTAACCAGAATAATGAAAACCTAGTTATCGGATGAAAGCTCAAGAAAATCCCATTATTTTTAGACGATGAATGATGGTAAATTGATAATGTGATGAGCACTTGAGGAGATCAGAGAAAGATCAAGAAAAAGGATCAAGAAAAAATGAGAGGCACGTGTTGATATTTTCGAGAGAGTTTTCTTTTTTATTAATTAACTGCTTTTATTAAGTGTTCGAATCTGGACAATTTTCCAATATTTTTTGTGTAGATACTTCTAAGAGAGAGAAGAAGTAGAAGAAAGAATGAGCTTAGGGTTTTCTTCCTTGCTTTCTGAAACTGTGAAGTTGCGTTGGAGTTTGGTGGGGTTTTGTTACTAGGAGAGGACAAGTTGCGTTGGAGGTTTCGGTTCAACAATTGACATGAGAATACGTTTTATATTACCAATCTGCCATTTCCATTTTCTTTCAATTATTCAATTCACCATGGCCGCTAAGAATCTCAATAAACGCCAAATTCTTTTTGGTATTCTACGAGGGCCAACATTGTAAGTCACCTCGGTGCAAGCTTTCTTCCATTTTTCTACGCCTACTGCCTGCCTATCTGCCTATGGAAGGCTTAACTGTAAACGAGCTTGGGTTATGATGGGCTTGGCATGTTCTTCTTTTCTTATTGCATATGGGTTTTCGAGATGTCCAACTTGAATTTGAGCTAAGGCTCAAGTAAAATGGGTAACGGGTGAAACTGAAACAAAGGACATGTTAATCATTGTTAGGGAAACAGCCGAAACAAAATCGAAGTCCTTTTGTTTTGCAGCCGAAGGTATAGGAATCCAATTGAGTTGACAAGTTAATAAACAAACATAATTTGGCACCAAATTGTTAGGATAAAAAAATTGATATCGAAACTTGTAACTCTATATGCATTTTGTGCTAAGCAATCTGCCTTTGTTTTTTTTCTTTCCACAAGATTCATCACATGCAAATGAGTTCCTTATATATTACCACTACCACAGCCTTCTTGGCTAACTTTTTGCTTCGCTTAGCAGTTAGCAAATGATCACCAATCCAACGCAGAACATGAGAAAAATACTAGGAAAAATCTTTTCCTCTCGCGATCGTCAAAGTGATCAGGTAGGTTGGTCTCGGCTCTCGATGGTCATACTGGTACAGTTCATTTTCTTTCATTTCCCCTGTTGTCCACGTCTTCTTAATTTGCTGAAGTCCACGTCTAATAAAAAGAGTCGTTGCATGTACATTAATGTGGCGAGATGTTTTGGGAACAAAATAATGAAGGAGGTCCAGCCAGACAGTCCTAAAAGGCTGTCGTCGTATATCGGCCCACTATCTATGTCAATATTTTGCTCAAAATTCTCTCTCCAGGAAACTCTATGGTTCTACGCAGATGCAATTGGTGGATTTAGTCAAATTCACATAAATGTTCAATAAAAAAGGTTAGGCCAGGCATAGGTTGGCCAAGTCTTGAACCGCAAATAAGTAACATATATGGTAGATGTGGCTCGCCACGTGGTTTATAATATTATATATGCCAGTACAAGATTCTTTGAATCTAATGATTCTCAGATACTCTTTAAGACATACGGGGTAGCTGATTTGCCAACTGTTCAGTTAGGTTGGAGAAGTTCTATACCTTCTTTGTTTTGGTGAAAATCCAATTTTTGGATCAAATTTCGGCAAATTTTCTACTAAATATATATCATTTGACAACAAGACTTACTTTAATAGAAAAGTTAATTTTGAGAAACTGCAAAATTCGCCGACTAAAATGATTTCATCAATTTTCTAAATTAAATAAGCTTTCTATATTAGCTCTCTCAAACAACTTGGGGAACTGAATAGAGCAAAAATGTATGGTGCACGCGTGGACCAGCAGCTGCAAGGCTGATCACCTAAACATTTGATGGGCAAACTTAGTTAATCTCGGACGAAAATTTTCAAGCCAAGGATTTTTACAACTAATACAGAATTCCCAACTGAAGTAAGCTCTTAGCAGGCTCCAAGATTCCTTTCAGCCTCTAATATTTGCGAAACTGACCGCATTTTCTGCTCTAACATGCTATAGTAAATACGAATCCATTTGTTTTGCGGTCTTGCTCAAGTCACCTGGGGAAAGAACCAAACCATGGAAGAATCCAAAGATGAGATCATAGCTCCTCTAAGTGAGTCCCTCTCTCTTTTTTCAATCTGCAAAACTCAAAACACTTGACTCTTTTTGTTCTGGTTCTGAAACATTTACTGTTCGTGTACCTGTTTTTCTGCAGTATCTAAGGATGAGAAGGATAGAGATGTTAGCAATCCCTCCTCCTCATCCTCATCATCGCGGGCCATGGCATCAAAATCTGAGGTTAAAGAAGTGCAAGAAGAAGAGGAGAACTCACCCGTTAGACAGGTGGCCTTAACCGTACCAACCACCGACGACCCTTCTCTACCAGTCCTCACATTTCGAATGTGGGTCTTAGGCACCATCTCGTGTGTCCTCTTATCATTTCTTAACCAGTTCTTTTGGTACCGAACAGAGCCATTGACAATCACTGCCATCTCTGCACAGATTGCCGTGGTTCCTCTTGGCCAATTGATGGCTGCCAAAATTACTGACCGTGTTTTCTTCAAAGGAACTCGCTGGGAATTCTGCTTGAATCCAGGGCCCTTCAATGTCAAAGAACATGTTCTTATAACAATCTTTGCCAACTCTGGAGCTGGCAGCGTTTATGCCATTCATGTTGTGACTGTTGTTAAAGTGTTTTATAAGAAGCACATTACTTTCTTTGTCTCCTTGATTGTTATCATAACGACTCAGGTCAGTACTCGTTCGTTGGTTCTATCTAGTTTTTCATTAACGATTTCATTGTTAAGTTTGTTTTTTTTTTTCTTTTTTTTTGGTATGTGTTGGGTTAGGTTTGAATAGTTTGGTGGGTTTTGAATGGTAGGTGCTGGGGTTCGGATGGGCTGGTATATTCAGGAGGTACCTAGTGGAACCAGCAGCTATGTGGTGGCCTGCAAACCTCGTTCAAGTTTCTCTCTTCAGGTATTCCGATTATGGTGAATTTTATATGATACTGATTTAGTGTACTGCTTCTATGCGATTTCATTAATCGGCCAGGATATTCCTGGATTCTGGTGAATTTGGGTGGCCAGTAATGGTCACGGTGAGACTGGCTGGTGGGTTGTTCTTTTGTTTCTATGAGTTCACCTGTTGGCTGTTGCATTAGCAACAAAAAAGGGTTCCTGATTGGACTTACTGGCCGTAGTTGCAACTTGCACGTAAATATGTACTTGAGACATGTTGCTAAGGAAAGGCGGGGCCGCACGGCATTAACACAAATAATACTAAGTTAATAACAAGGGTTAAGGACTAAGGCTTTTAGGATCCTTCTCTGGTAACTAAGCTGGGCATTTTGAGTAGAGCTAGGCGTTAATTTTGGCTACATTTTATTTGGTCACAGTTTTCGCTATTTGCATTGGCTTTAATTCGAATTTGATTCTCTTGACCCTGATAGCCGTGCTCAGCTTGAGTGGTTCTCTAGGAAACACAAGCTGGACCAAACTGATGGGAACTCTCCTGAAAAAAGTGAACCCCATTTTTTTCCTTCGATGAGGATCTCTCTAGACTGTAGTTCTGTACATTTTCTTGTGACATCCAATCCGAGTTGCCTGCTGAAAACAAGGATTACAACAAGAGCAACTAGCAAATAGAAAATAGAAAATAAAGAAAACTTAGAAGAACATTAATGGGCCATTATTGGGTCTTGGAGCCCAAAGAACGTAACTCCTCAAAAGATATTTGGCCAATAGAACCGAGGTTAGTCTAAGTCGCTAATAACATACGAGTATATTCGTCAGGCTTTTCAGTCTGTATCTTTGTTTATGCAGGGCTCTGCACGAGAAGGAAGAGCGGGCGAAGGGTGGGGTAACGAGAACCCAATTCTTCCTAATTGCCTTCATTTGCAGTTTTGCTTACTATGTCTTCCCAGGCTACCTCTTCCAAATGCTAACTTCCCTCTCGTGGATATGCTGGATATTCCCGAAATCTGTGCTAGCCCAACAACTCGGTTCAGGCCTTTATGGGCTAGGAATTGCTGCTATTGGGCTCGACTGGTCCACTATCTCCTCATATCTTGGTAGCCCTCTTGCAAGCCCATGGTTTGCCACAGCAAATGTGGCTGTGGGATTTATCCTTATCATGTATGTTTTGACCCCCATCACCTATTGGCTTAATGTCTACAATGCAAAGACCTTCCCCATATTCTCCGACGCTCTCTTCACGTCGACAGGTCAAGAATACAATATCACAGCTATCATTGATTCGAATTTTCACCTCGACATCGCGGCTTATGAAAAAGAAGGACCTCTATACCTTAGCACATTTTTTGCAATGACATATGGTGTCGGTTTTGCTGCACTAACTGCTACGATCGTTCATGTTGCGCTATTCCACGGAAGGTAATTTGTAGATCTACCTCCAAATACCAATTAGGCTTGAAATTATCTTAAATGGCATGCTGAAGCTCACATTTTAGCTGTAAACTGCAGAGAAATATGGGAGCAAAGCAAAGCTAGTTTCCAGGATAACAAAATGGACGTACACACCAGACTCATGAGGAAGTATAAGCAAGTTCCTGAGTGGTGGTTTGTGTGCATCCTTTTGGTAAACATTGCTGTCACCATATTTGCCTGTGAGTATTACAATGACCAACTTCAGCTGCCATGGTGGGGAGTTCTACTAGCATGTGGCATTGCCATTGTATTTACACTTCCGATTGGCATCATTACAGCCATCACAAACCAGGTATCTTCAATCATATATGCTGCGGCAATTACAACACATTAAGTTGTTTGTAGACTGTATATACTCCAACTTTAATTTTCTTCACACACTTCAGTTTAAACAGCTTTACATCACCGATCGATTTCTAATTGCAGACACCGGGCCTTAACATCATTACCGAATATATAATTGGGTATATATATCCAGGATATCCGGTCGCTAATATGTGTTTCAAGGTGTATGGATACATAAGCATGACACAGGCTGTTACCTTCCTGCAAGACTTCAAGCTTGGTCACTATATGAAAATTCCGCCCAGAACAATGTTCATGGCTCAGGTCTGCTCACATCTCTTGAAAAAAAAAAAACTTTTCTCTCTGCAAATGTTTCTTCACACAAGATTAACAGGTCTTTTCCTCTTGCCTTAGGTCGTAGGCACCCTCATTGCTTGCTTTGTGTACCTGGGAACTGCCTGGTGGCTAATGGAAACCATCCCTGATATTTGTGACACGACAGCCTCCAATAGCGTCTGGACTTGTCCAAGTGATACTGTGTTCTATGACGCGTCGGTTATCTGGGGTTTAGTAGCGCCTCGTAGAATATTCGGAGACTTGGGAACTTATGAGGCGATCAATTGGTTCTTCCTTGCAGGAGCAATTGCTCCTCTTCTTGTCTGGTTGGCCACCAAGGCCTTCCCTCATCAAGAGTGGATCAAGCTCATTAACATGCCAGTCCTGATAGGTGCCACAGGGATGATGCCACCAGCCACTGCAGTTAACTATACTACCTGGATTATTGTTGGCTTTCTCTCTGGCTTTGTTGTTTATAGGTATCGACCCGATTTGTGGCAACGATACAATTATGTTCTTTCTGGGTCATTGGATGCAGGCCTTGCTTTTATGGGTGTGCTGATATATTTGTGCTTGGGATTAGAAAATATTAGTCTAGATTGGTGGGGAAATGATCTTGATGGATGCCCTCTGGCTAGCTGTCCAACAGCCAAAGGTATTGAGGTTGAAGGCTGCCCAGTGTACACCTAGAGTTTGTTGCTTTGTAGAAGTAAATGTTGAAAAATATGTATCTAGGTTCGTAGGAAATTGCAGATGAACGCATCTGCATATATATTGTATTTCAGAAGGAATTCAAGTGCTCTTAGACATGAAATTCAAGTCAGATTTCAGCATATTGTTGTAGGCTTGGGAGTCTAATAGTTGAGGCTTGTGCTACGTACGGGACTGTCGACATCATTTGCCACAAAAGCAACTATACTTGGAATTGTAATCATAATTTCCATTTATCCTTACAATTTGGATTTTACAATTTTCACAGCCATATTAGTTGTGTACTTCTTGTCATAATTTGGATTTGCAATTTTTCATAGCCATGTTTGTTGTGTAACTTTTCGGTTCATAGACACAGACAAGTACAATCATCGATTCCTCAAATGTTTTCATGGTTTCTTTCTTTCTTTTTTCAATAAAAAAACTGCCAACGAGTATTAGAAATTAAGAAAAAAGGAAGATACAATCATATTGAGATTGTCTAAGAAATTATTCCATTATATTGAAAGAATTACTAAGATCCTAAAGTTAAATTTTGATTTTATGATTGTCACTTGTTGGTTTTGTAAACTGAAGATTAATCATGATTAGGTAAATTATATACAGTTACAAACACTTAACATGAATTTATTTTATATTTTTTGTGATTTCAATTATTTTAAACAACATCCTGTGATTTTTTTTTAATTAATACATTGAGAATATTATTTTTTTCAATTATTTACTCCTAGATAACTTTGGTTCACATAAAAGTTAAATTATTAATTTTGTTTAGTAAAATTATTAAGATATTTTCAATTCAAAGTTAACATATTTATACTTAAAGATATTTTTGTAATTTTATTATAATTTTTTTATTGAATAAAATTAATAAACCTATTCTAAGAAAATAAGTTACTAATAAGTTACTAATTGAAAACTAAGATATTCACCTAATGCTAATTAGCAAAGCAGAAACTACATAATATTATGTGAAAAATCTTAAAATTATAAGAGACATATTTTACCCAAAATTTAATTGTTCATTAAAGATTCTTCCCCAAAAAAAAAAGTTCATTAAAGAAGTCTTATATTGTAAAAAAAAAAAAAAAACCAAAACAAAGAAGCGATAAACCGGTAAACTAGTGTCGGACATTCTAAATCCCCAACATGGGTGCACATAAACCTCAAGCAACTAAAAAACGCAGTCATGGAGACCCACACAGGCGGCGGCACCAACAACGAAGGCACGATAGCGACCATCAAATCCATTCGGACTCAACTCGAGTCCCGAATCCAAACCCAACATGCCACCACCTGGATCTCCTCGCCTCCCTCCAAAGCCTGGACGCCAACATCGTCCCCTCTCTGGATCTCTCCCTCCGCATCGTCTCCGCCTTCAACAACCGCCCTTTTTCTCCCACTCCTCCCCTTCCCACACCCAAAAAGATTTTCCACCCACCCAACACCCACCGACCCACCCCGTAACCGACCCTAAACAACTGGCCCTCGTTAATCCTGACCAAGGTGACAAACTCGCTGACGAGAGAGGCAACCCATTGTCGGTGGTGAGAGCGATTGTGGCGGAGTGTTTGCTTCAGAGAGTACCGTTCAAAGCAATCGATTCGTCGACGGTTTTGAGGAAGTTAGAGAACGACGAGAACGTGACGGCGGCGGAGAAGGCGGCGATGCGTGAATTGGGAGGCGATTCGGGGTCCATTCTCGCGGTGGAGATGGCGTTGAGGTCAATGGCGGAGGATAACGGGGGCCTCGAGGTCGAAGAGTTGTTGTCGGCGGCAAAGCAGAGTTATGGTACTCAACATTGACCGAACCCGGTTAGTCCGAGAATTACCCGAAGAACCTCAAAATCATCTGAAAAGAGAGGTATAAACAACGTTAACGAAAGTGAGAGCTTGAAGATAAATAATAACAGTAATAATGAGTGGGTGGCGCCGAGGCCCATGAGCGAAATTTGGATGGGAGGGGGAGACCCCGGCATGATGTATCCGCCGGGTGTGCCAATGGCGGGCCCGCGGGGTCGGGGAATGGGAATGATGGGAAGGCCTCCAATGGGGCCAAACAGTGGTCTTTCGCCGGCTCAGAGACAGAGGACTGAGGAAGATGATTTGAAGGATTTGGAGGCTTTGTTGAATAAGAAATCTTTTAAGGAAATGCAAAAATCGAAGACGGGTGAGGAGATTTTGGACATCATTAATCGCCCAACTGCTAAGGAAACTGCTGTGGCTGCTAAGGTATATTGGAGTTCATTGAGTAGGTTTTTTTTTTAAAAAAATAATTTAAATTTGGTTGATGACTCTGTTCGATTATTTGGTGTAGTTTAAAAGTAAAGGTGGTTCTCAAGTGAGGGAGTATTGTTCAGCTTTGACGAAGGAGGATTGTCGAAGGCAGTCCGGCACTTTTCTGGCATGTAAGAAGGTAAATGACGAACTGAAATGTCCTTGTTTTAACGATAGAGCATGTATATGGTTGCCTATCATACAGTGCAGGTCCTTTGACAATTTAGTGATGTCCTGCAAAATGTGAGAATATGTTTCTATTTTAGAGTAGACTGCTTCTCTTTCCGAATGAAAATGAAGAGTTTCTCTATCTTTAAGTAAAAAAAATTACCAAAAACCTTTCTGCTTCTCATTGTGCTGTAGGGATGAAATTCAGTGTTTTGTTCTATCTTTTGATATATCCAGTAGGTTTCATCATTCAGCTTCAACCTATAGTGTCAATTATTATTTGATTCATAGATATGGTTGTCTCTTATATACTTATGTCTTATGAGGTACTATCATTGGTTTTGGACTTCTGCAAGTCATTTGACTAGCTTTTAGAAGGATCCTTACGGATAGTATTTTAGGACTCCTGATTTGCCTATTTGCAATCTTGTTTTAATATTTATCATAACTCTTTTCAGGTTCATTTTAAGCGCATAATTGCTCCTCATACTGATATCAGTTTAGGGGATTGTTCATTTCTAGATACTTGCCGTCATATGAAGGTAATTTTTATACTTCTTACAACAATTTTTAATAGCTTTCTTTCTAATGTCATCTTATTACAGCTACTACTTGAGAGTAATGCCAATCATATTTTGTTTGATAGACATGCAAATATGTTCATTATGAGCTCGACCAAACGCAAGATGATCTTGGTCCTGAGAAGCCATTAAAGCCTCCACGTGCTGATTATTGTTCCGAAGTAGAACTAGGTGAACCACAATGGATTAATTGTGATATCCGGAGTTTTAGAATGGACATTTTGGGGCAGTTTGGTGTCATCATGGCAGATCCGCCATGGGACATTCATATGGAGTTGCCTTATGGAACAATGGCTGATGATGAGATGCGTAATCTTAATGTTCCTGCATTGCAGACTGACGGTCTGATCTTCCTTTGGGTCACTGGACGTGCAATGGAGCTAGGACGTGAATGGTGCGTGCTTTCTTTTGCCTGTGTAGTACATCTTTTTTTATTAGAAGCACATTAAAAGTTTTTATTCATGTATGTAAAAGCTATGCATGCTTCTTGCAGTTTGGAACTTTGGGGGTACAAGCGGTGTGAGGAGATTATTTGGGTGAAAACAAATCAACTTCAGCGAATAATTAGAACAGGGAGAACAGGTCATTGGTTAAATCATAGTAAGGAACATTGCCTTGTTGGAATAAAGGGTAATCCAGAAATAAACAGGAATATTGATACTGATGTCATTGTTGCTGAGGTTCGAGAGACTAGCCGTAAGCCAGATGAGGTTTGTAGAACTTATATTCCATACCTAGATAGTTTGACCATCCCATTGTACCATTATTTTTTTTGTTAAGTTGTACCATTATTTAGTTTGCTGCTTTTTGATGTCAGAATGTTAGCTTAAGAACGCCAAAGGCCATGCATACTTCTTTCTGAAATGTTATGTTGTTGCTTCTCACACTCTCATTTCATTACATAAATGGGCTTAACTTTATGGTTGTTGTAATGCTCTGTATACTTGCACTGTTCCTGTTCTGTAATTCAAGTCATATTAGATGCAAACTTAACAGAAACGTAAACCTGCAGATGTACCCTATGCTGGAAAGAATTAGTCCAAGGACAAGGAAGCTGGAATTATTTGCTCGCATGCATAATACACAAGCAGGGTATGGTGTCTTGACTCATTTTTCTTGTTTCGAAAATTATTCGAATACAGTACTATCATCTATCATAGGGTGCCAACAGGCCCTGTTGTGAGGATAAACAGATGAAGGGCCTGGAGGTCTCAATGTTAAAATAAATCTGACATATTGTATTTTCAATATCTAATTTTTAATTCCCCCTGGTAAATACTATTTCATATTCTACTGTAATTATAACTAGCCATTATAGTGTTTTACAGCCCAGTGAACCCTTTTCTTAATTTTTGGATGTCCACAATTTTCCACTACTGAGCGGTCTTCTTTCCACTCTTATTTTCCACCAGATGGATATCACTTGGTAATCAGTTGAATGGAGTTAGACTGGTTGATGAAGGCCTACGAGCAAGGTACAAGGCTGCCTACCCCCATGTGGATGTGCAGCCCGCCTCTCCTCCCAGAGCTTCTGCTATGGAAATAGACTCTACTTCTGCTAGAAGTCCCTTTGCAACAGAGTCAAGAGCACAGTTTGCAGATCCTGCTGCTCCAGATGCGGTCCTTGCTCCTGAAGAGAGGGCAATGGCTATAGATGGCGATATGGCCAGCTGAAAAACCAATAAATTCTGGCCTTGCATGGTTGATACGGAGATACTATTGTACCATTATTTAATAGTACCTGAAAGGGTCTCTTATCCCTGGCTAATTTTGCCCCAGGTGCATTTGTAATGATTTTTGTTTTAATCAGTTGTTAAATTATCAGTCCCTTTTACTATATTACAGCCCCTATTAGTGACTTCTCTTCACCGTGCATCTGTATTGCTTGGCCTGTAGTAGTAATAACTAATAAGATAAAATTAGGATTCAAGCTGTTCCAAGTCATTTCCCAGCTCGTTCTTTTATATTTTAGTATGAGTTGATCCTGAATCTGTGACCGTGACCCACTGAACCGAAGCGACAAGGCGCTGTCGGTGTAGTATTGGCAAGAATCATAACCAGCTGGCAATTAAACCATAAATTAATAGAACTGGATGGCACAACCATAATTTCAGGCGGTGTTCTCGCGGACCTATGCGGTTCAAGTATTTTATCCGCTAAAGCGGGTTTTCCTTGCTTTCCTTTTCTTCGAAAAGAGCAAAAGAAGATGTCCAGTCTCTTCTTTACAAGCTCATAGATTCTGTGCTGTCTGTAAATCTAAATGCATGAATACATGTAAAGGTAAAACAATATTACTAACAAATTAAGAAAGCTAGTATTGTACAAGATTCTGCATCCGATTTCACTATTCATTCTCTTTGATCACTGATAAGAAATACAAATCCGAGAAATTATAATATGAACCAATATACCAGAGCTACAAAACCAACATTTGAATGAAAATAAATAAATAAATAAATGCCGCATAGGGAAAAAAATACAAAAATATTTTCCAGTTGGATTTGAAAATTTGACACAGAAAGTAACCAGGCGTCCATGCCCTTCACATCATGCCATTGATTATTGCCCATGTAGCTGATGCAATAACAGCTGTAATGAAGATTGGGAATCCTAGAGTAGGCGAAGAAGAAGGCGGTTGAGGGATTGTGCCGAAGACAGTAGGGTAAGAGGGCGAAGATGTAGTTTCAGGCAATGCACTCGGACCATAAGAGGGAGCAGATGCAGAACCATTCCCTGAAAGCACAGAAATGTATAGCTTCTGTTTCTTTTCACAGTGACCAGGTTCCCCACTGGTGAAAAAGAACTCCCCGGGTTTAGTGATGTTAAAGAGAGAGTTGCCATTGTTCAAGTACAGGATTGGATCTTTGAGGTTGCAAGAGTTGTAGGATTGTTCCGTGACTTGAATAACCGAATCTTGACTTGGTGGGTATAAGAACACTGCAAATAGAACAAGCAGCAAGAGTGAGAATAGCAAGAGGAAACAAAAAATGGAAGGAAAGATATGAACAGAAAACTCACAGAGAGAGTCTCCAATCTTGAAGGTGTGGTACTTGGACCATTTGGCGTATACCTGCGGGTTTGCTGACGTGGGAATACCCCAAGCTTCTAAATCTCCAACCTTGTACTGATAGCATAGGACTTTGGCTTGGATTAACAAAAGCAACTGAAAGGCACAGAAGAAACAATATCTGGGACTTCCAAGATTGGCCATCTTACCTCTTCCCTCACCCTTTCACTTTTCTGTTTCCCAAATTTAGGAGCGAGCGAGTGAGGACACTATTATGTCGATGCAGAAGTGAAATCTTACTGGCCTTAGCGTCTAAACACAGATTGGTGGAGCCAAAACAACATGTTGCTGTGTAATTTACCTGAATGCCCTCCTTCACGAGGGATTTTAAAGTTCAATAGTTTCTTTCAAATGGTCCATTGTCAAGTACCCATAGAATAGAACTGCCCAAACATCAGAAAAAATAGATGGTTGATCTAAACCTTGATGAAGTTGAGATCTTCCAGGAAATCATCTGTAGCTGTATATTCAATGATGATTAATGTCTGTAGAATCTTTTTCTCCTTGCATAAGCAGTCCCCACGAGACTTGGGATAGAGAAGGAAATAAAGCCTTGTGGAGGGTAGAATTGGGAAGGAAATCAATCATGTGGCTAATAATTATTGTACTACTGTCACATGAGCAAGTTGGATAGTCATTCCAAGCTGTGCTCGGAAGGAGAATGTAAAGTTGGAACTTGGAAAAAAGTGGAACAAGCGAAGTGGGGATGTTCTATCAAATGATGTTAGATAGATCGGTTCACCTTCAGTATAATGCAATCATGTGCATTGGACATGAGAAAACAGTGAGGACTTGTCTCCTCTCACATGGTTAGTCGTCTAGAATTTATTTAATTAATTAAATGTTTAAAATCTATGCGACCAAGAGAGACAAATCATTTCAATCTTCAACTCCCTCCTCTTTAATCCTAATGCAAGTTGAATCAACCGTTTCTTGCTTAGTCTGGATCATTTGCTTACATATTAACTATAGAAAGTTTTGCCTTCTCTTTTGGTTTTTGTTTTGTGTAAGTGCTCAAGTCAACATAATTAGATTAAACCAAGTGCCTTGTGAGTTATCACTAAAATTCAAACCCCTGACTCTACCTTCCTAGCACCAAACGGGATTTATTAGCTAGTTTTCAGAATCGAAACACAATTTGCAGGTGAAATTCAAAGCAGAAGTACCCATACTAGATAGATGATAACTTTTTACCAAATTCACTTTCATTTTAACTGTTGCAGAACCAGCTTTGTGCAATGGTATAGATACCTTATGAAGGCAGCAACTCTTCAGTAGATTGCATAAACCCCCGTCTGTTTTTCCAATCTCTAGTCACTGTTTCCCCAGAATTATTGGTTCAAACAAGTTAGTAAAAGTCAGTTTTAGTGGTGCCATATTCGGACCTGCTTTCCTTTTACATCATGAACCAAAAGGACGTTTGTCATGGCACAATAACAAAATGAGGGCTGTTTTTAGCATGCTTATGATACCAAAATAAGGTGAAAAAAATGAAAGCTCATATTGAACAATATCAAGGAAAGAACTGTGACCTATATTACTATATATTCTATATGTAGACAATTAGCAACCAAAAATAAATACCTCGATTCCTTTTGCAATAGTGACTGAGATTAGGTGAAGAAAACATGACCTAGAAACTATATTTCTGTCATTCTTTTAACCAAAAATAGTACTTGAAGCCCTCGCACACAAGCCTCAAACTTCATACCTTCTAAGCAAATAGGACTAGGCCACGCACCCCTTGTCTATAAGATTGCAAACAGCTTAAACAGATTGCAGCTCCAACAGTTATAACGAAGAAGCTCCAAAAACAGTCAGAAGTTTATTCCCTCTGAAATCAATTAAGAATTTAATGGATCTGCCTCGGAACCCATCTCTTGCATTGCCGTCCAATCTTGTGATCCTGTAGTAAAATAAGTAAATTTCTTGTTTATACAGGTATACTATAGCACGTATAAGTACCAAGAAATATAATTAAGTAAGATTTATTATAAAAGAAAAATTGTTGCTTTTTAGACTCTGAATTTCAAAGGTGTAGCATATAGAAGAATCACGAGGCAAATTTAGAACTTACTCGACTTGTGCATTTCTGCAATCACCATAAGACGCCTCTGCAACACAGATGCCAGGAAAAGGAAAATCGAGCACATGCCAAACATGACGGTCATGGGAAGTGCTTTTACCTTTCAAAGAACAGTTTATCCAAAACAGAAGAAACTGTTAACAACAGGTAACTTAATAGCATTGTGCCCATAGCTCAGAGTATATTTGCTTACTACAAACAGATTACAAGTAGGTTTGCTGAAAAGAACGGGGCTGAGGGAGTGCTTCACTTTTGACAAGTAGTTAAATCATGAGAAAAGATCTATTCAACCATGGTGTTCTTTTAGTTACTACAGTAATATTGTCAATAGACTCAATACGAAATGAGAATACCCGGAAAAGAATATGCAGATAAAGAGACCATAAAAAAAATAGTAGACTTACATTGTATAATGCAATGCACACAAAGATGTTGAGAGGAACGCGAAAGAAGTTCATGATAGTGCTTCTAGCCTCCTCTGGAATGTATTGAGACCTCATCTTCATAATAGACGGCCAGAATATCCCAACGCAAGCTTCGAATGTGCAGAAACCAAAGAGTTGGATACACCCAGAGAATGAGATGCTTCCACCTTTCACGCCAGACGGTGCTATCATGAACTGTTGAGACTTGCAGTTAATTTACAATAACTGGCGGGTTTCCATGAAGCATTTTGAGAGGAGGGGGAGAAAATATGGAGGAGGAAGAGACGAGAAAGGAAATATAAACAAGAAACAAAAAATACACGACGTACACTTGTGATAACAGGAAGCAAGAGAGATACTGAAGAGACCATAAATACAATCTGCATGTAGCTCTCGACTCTTGGGTTTTGCTGAGCCAGCAGCCGAGAGGCAATGGAGCTTCCCAGCATCGAAGATAACATGAACGTCGCAAAAATAAAACCGTGTGGAATATCCTCGTCATTTGGGCTCAAAGCAGGGGTCCAGAGGAACACAAAGGTGTACATTGAACCTTCAAATAGGGATTGTATGGCGCCCAGCAAAGTAATTTTCTCATCTGATGGCACATGGATCTTGGATTAATAGACTTCCCATCATAATATAGAGAAAGGAAAGATAAGGAAAAAAGGGAAACAAACACCGGGCTAAAACCTGGATAAAATACTTCTTTTTAGTTTTGTGTTCTGTTTACCCAAATTATCAGATGCACAAATTCTTAATTGAAAGCCGGTAGCCTAGACGTTAAAGGTAAGCCAAGAATAAAATGTTCAACAACTTGATCATTTGATTTCCCCTAATGCAGAAAAATATCTAGCTATAGGTCCCAAAAATAGAATTTGGATTTACCAGCAGTAATGGCAGCAGCAGCACCCCTGAATTGAGTAAGCAAGTCCTTGCTTTCCGAAGGGTCTCCATAATTTTCAGTCCATGACGTTAAGATGATAATCATGCCAATGGCAAGGAAGCAAGATGCAGCATCAAATGGAGCAACAGGGCCTAATTGCAAATTATCAACCAGTACATTGCCAAACAACCCAGATAAAATCGCCATCAAGCCATTTCCAAGAAATATTGCCTTTGAGAATGTTATAGAAAGCCACTGTTGATCAAAACCTCGCTGCCAAAACCAAAATTGGTAACAAGATTTAGAACGAAGGCATTTAGGAAAACTAAATCGAAAGTAAAATATTCATTCCATATGCCATAGTAAGTAAACATCCCGAGTTTTTTGATGAAGCAAGCCAACAATTTTGAGGAATATACAACTTATGATTCTCATGTAGAGAAACAATTATATTGCAATTTTATATATTAATCAAGAGCTAATGTAGTAACTGTAGGGGACAGGGCTCCAGGTTTTGAGATATGCAAAATGGAAAGCAGTCCAACTTCAAACTTTGCAAGGGATCCACTTATTAATCAGTAAACTCCCAGACTGTTAGCTTTTGAAAAGTGAAATTTTGTTTAAGTTCACATAGAAAATCAGAGACACACGAAACAATAGTAAGAATTACAAGCTTAAAAAATCTTAGGTTTACAGCGAAGCAATTAAGCACCTTATTGTGTTCTGCAACAAGCCAAGACTCAAAGGCTGAAAAAAGAAGAGAAGTTGCAATGCCTCCCAACACTCGTCCCAGCATTAGGACCTTGTACTGAGGAGAATGTTTGGTAATGCAGCTCAGTATGTAAGTTATGCAGTAAGTAACACATGCCCTCTTTCGACCCCTACATTCAGCATGCAATAACTTAGGAATCAACAAGAAAATTACGATTTACGAGGAGACTTAAACAACACAAAGATCTTACTTTTTGTCAGCTAGAGATCCAACAATTGTCCCAAAGAACATGGAAGATCCGAAACCAGCTATAAAGAGGTGGCCAATCTCACCCTTCCCGAATCCGTACTGACTGTAGAGGTAGTAAACATATGGCCCCTGCAACCAATCCCCTGCTGTTTTTCCCATGATCAACATAATCAGTTTTAGCATAAGCTGACAATTACCAGACAGATAAACAAAGTAAACAAATAGATAATTTTCAAATCAAAGGGACACCCATTATTAATGACATTTAAAGCCAATGCAAAAACTTAATATTACCAAACTTGGCTACAATAAGCAGCAAGAGATGCAAAAGCTACATCATCGGGTTTGATTTGAAATTACAAACAAACAAAACAAAAAACCAGAAACGAAGCACCAGTGATTAATGGCAGACTCTAATGTGTTGAAAGAAACTATTAAAGAGTAATGGCAAAGTTAAATCAACCTCTCAGCATCGATCTGGTTAACCAAAACCGAAAAAGACAAGAAAATTCCAGATCAATCCCAGGAAAGGAAATAAACTTTATTGTAAACAGATGACAAATACGTAAAAGTTTACGTTAAATTGCTAAAAATGCCATACCCATCATGAGAGAGTAAACGACAAGGTAGTTGTTTTTGAAAGAATTGAAAGCAGAGGAGGTGTTGATGCGATCTTTGTTGGTTTTGCTTAGCTCCAATGCCGCAACCAGGGATGCCAGGGCCCCGAATACCAGCAGGTAAAATGCTTCCATTGTATCTGCTTTCTTTTTTTCTTTTCCCGCAAAGAAGGATCTAAACAGAAACAGAGGAGAAACAGAGAGCGAAGATTGAGACAAGGATGAGTGGAACTAACGTATAACTGTGTAAGCTACAAGAAAACAGGGTGGCGTTAAAAGGGAGTTGGCAGCAACCAAGGAATTGACAATTTCTTTGTGGAGTTTGGTAGGTCGTAGGTGTATGTCCGTGCGCATTCGTAAATCTTAAGGCAGAGGCCGGATCCCCTTGTTTCGTGATTTTCCCGGGTAATATGCAAAAGCTCTTCTTTTTCTAAACTTATATTACTTTTTTCATTTTTCAAATATTGGACCCAAATCCGACCAGAAATGAAATACTTCTAGCCTTGATTAATCTATTCCATAACCATTAGACTCCCAAGTCCCAAAGAAGAAGCAGGTTAAGTGAGAAATGGGGGCAAGATACCAATATGATGATGATATGGTAACCCCTAAAGATACTTTGAATTACAAAAATGAAATGTAAGCATAATCTCAATCTCAATTGCTATAAATGAAATGAGAGCATAATTCAAAGTATAGTTTTCGAAGGTAACCGTCTTTTCCATCAATATCAGCTTAGCTTGCCATTCAAAGTTTTACGAAATTTCCATTTATATACAAGTTGAAGTGTGTTGGAATTGAAGGCAAGTAGGTAAACCTTCATACTTATATATCTAAATATGAATGCAGAGTTTCTTTTTCGACATTAGATATAAACATAATCGCAAACCATTATCTAATTGTCACATGATTTAAGTTGAACTTTCTTATTAAAAGATTCAAATTGAATTTAGATTATATGATTATTCAATTTGGATCTTTTAGAAATACAATTCAAAATTAAACTTTGTATATAATTCAATTTGAACTACTCTTTAAGTATAGTATATTATAAATATATCTTATTAGACAGTTTTATTAATAATAGAATGACACACAGTCTTATATAAAAAACATAAAAATAAAAAAATTTTTGAACAATTATGTTCATTTAGAAAGTTATATTTGTTTAAACAGTTTGTTGAATTATCTTATTATCCCTTTTATTTATTTTAAAAAATTCATTCCATAAAAAAAAAAACAAACTTACACACAAAAAAGTTGAATTTAAATTTGACTTCCTGAATTAAAGAAAAAAAAAAAGAAACACTAGTAACATGCACAATTTATTTTCCTCTTTCCCAAGATTATAGCGAATAAAAAGGAAAAGATGTTATCTTCTACATCTGATAACAGAGAAGCCGATCAAGCCACTGAGAGAACCTAGACCATCTTAAACTTCTTTACATCTTCCAGAGCAGCGTTTCTAAACAACGCCAAATCGACCCCACCACAAACCATGCGGTATCCGCGTTTCCTCATCTCATTGGGCGGATCATGCGGCAGAGAAAACCCGGCCAAATAGGCCGCACCGCCGCCTAACACGGCCGCCTCAGCCACCTTCATCATCTTCTTCACTTTCTCATTCCCCGGGTCCCGCAGGTACCCCATGCTGGCACTCAAATCCGTCGGCCCAACCATCACACAGTCGACCCCATCAACGGCTGCAATCTCTTCAGCTCTGTTCACAGCTTCTCCCGATTCTACCTGGCACATAAGCAGTAGTTCACGCTCGCACTTCTCCAAGTAATCATCGTCAAGGCCGTACTTGGAAGCTCTAACAATTGGGTGTGCAGCGCCGCGTATACCAGTAGGAGGGTAGCGGCAATATGACACGGCATTTTTGGCGGATTCCGGTTCGTCGATCATGGGGAACATGAGGCCATCTGGGCCCAAGTCGAGGGCTTTCTTGGCCCATGATGGGGAATTTTCTGGCAAGCGGAGGATGGTGGAGTGTGGGTGGCGGATAGAGCCTGAAGACAAGGAGCGCCTGGAGATGCTACCGTGGCCATGTTCCATATCGACGACAACGAAGTCATAGCCTGCGAGGCCTGAGATTTCAGCCAGAGTAGGGAGAAGTGAGGAGAGAGGCCGTAAAGGGTGTCACCATCGTTGAGACGAGCCTTGAGGGTTTTGGTGGCCGGTGGTAATGAGGCCATGGCTGGGGCTTGGAAAGAGAAGGAAGTTTGGCTGGAGGAGGAATGAAAGATTACTGGGATAGTCTGATATCGTGATATCTGTTTTGTTCCACACTTGTTTTTAGTGATGGTAGAGTTTGCATGGCATCCAATTGCGATGGTCAGTGTCAACTGTGGGCCAGACCAATCCAAGGAATCTCACAAATCAACGTTGTCCAATGTGCTTTTACAAAAGAGGCAAGCCTATTCAAAAGGCCGTGAAAGGGGCGTGAGAACAAGAAAAACGGAGGAGAAATGCCAAACCTCGAATCCATAAGGCATTGTTGTAAAAATTTTAAAATTTTGTGATAGATATTGATTTAAATATTCATTACGTTTATATGAACTTAACAAGTAAGCCAAATTTAATTCTAAAAGTTAAATTGACTTACATTCTTATATCCATTCTATTCTGTTTCCAAAATCTGCGCAGTAAACATCCCAATTGGACTCTGGTCTTATTCCTCTGATCGAGCTCAAAGCCTCGAAAAATTGAAATCAAGGTTTATGTTCGACTTAAAAATAGGCGGGGAATCGAGCTTGAACATACTCCGACATTATTATTTATTATTATGTGCAATGAACTAAAACAAGGTCGAAGATTCATGCGAAATTGAACTCAAAGTCTCAATCTCTATTTCATTGTCGAATAGGAAACGATGCTGCTCAACTACATGCACAAAAACTTGCAACCAAATAGACTCCAAAAGGAAAAGTAAAGTAGAACTCCAACATCTATTTTATTCGCTCCAATACTTCTCATCACCATCTTTATCCTCTTCCCCATCATCATCAGAACCCACCGTCACACTATTCTTAAACCTTTTAACATCCTCCAAAGCCGCATTTCTGAACAACGCAAAATCAACGGCGCCAGAAACCATATGATACCCGCGCCTCCCGAGCTCCACCGGGGGATCATGCGGCATTGCAAAACCAGCCAAGAAGGCTCCACCGTCCCTCGGGTCCGACTTAAGCACTCCTTTCTCCGCCGTCCTCAACGTCTCCCTAGCATTCTTGTGACCGGGTCCCACAAGTAACCCAAGCTAGCGCTTAGATCCAACGGGCCCATTTGAACACAGTCGACCCCATCAACAGCGGCGATCTCTTCTACCTTTTTCACCGCATCTACCGTTTCCACCTGGCACATTATTAACAGATCCTCCATGTAATTACTCAAATACCCTTCGTTGATTCCGTAGTTGAAGCTCTCACTACCGTGTGAGCGGAGCCACGGATTCCGTCAGGAGGGAAACGGCAATACGACACCGCCTTTTTAGCGTCTTTGGGGAGTCAATCATGGGGAACATGATCCCTTGTGGACCGAGGTCAAGGGCTTTTTTAGCCCAAGCAGCGGAGGATTCAGGGAGGCGGATGATGGCTGGCGTATTGATCGGGGAGAGAGTGCGGAGAATTTGGAGGGATTCGTGGATTTCTCCAGGGCCGTGTTCCATGTCGATGACTACAAAGTCGTAGCCAGAGAGCGCGGCGATCTCGGCCAGAGTGGGAGAGAAGGAGAGGAGGAAGATACCGTAGAGGGTTTCGCCGTGCGGAGGCGGGATTGAGAGAGGATGTGGAGGAGAAGGTGAAGGATTAGGGGAGCATTTGAGAGGGAAGAGGGTGGGGAATTTGGTAGGTTTAAGGGTTTGAGTAAGGAAATGAAAGGCTTGGAAGAAGGAAAGGAGGGGATTTGGAGGAAATGAATGAAAGAGGATTTCTAAGGGAAAGTTTGGGGCTGGTGGCAGCGGCGGTGGTGAAGGTGAGAGTGGCCATGGCTTGTGGTGCGGGGGGATGGTGGGGAATTTGGGGTTATTAACCAAGAATGTTGGGGATCTGGAGGGATAGGCTTTAGTTAAAAAAGATTGGTGAGAGACGTGAGAAAGAGTGCTTCGAGGGCCTTCACCCTTTTAACTGTATGACTCGGATTTCGTAGACCCAAACCAGAAGATTCCTCTCCAGTCACCGTCCTTATTCTTAACGCTGTTAATTACCTGCGACCTTTGGCAAAGATTTGACACATAATTACCCCAAGCCACAGTAATTCCCAACTATATCCTTAGCTGGTCCTAGAAGTGCTTGAAATTATTATTATTATTATTATGAATTGAGAAGAAATTGTAATAGTGAATCGTTGTTGTCCATTTTTCAATTAAAACGACCTCAACCGTTTACTTAGGGATAAAAAACTTCTTTTTAAGCTGAATAGTTGTTCTAGGATGTGAAATATACAGCTTAAATATTACTACGTCCTTATGGCATTCAATTCAATGCAACCTATACCAAATTTGTCAAGGTGTCCATGAGCTCAAAACATTGTTGCTGTTAGAAGAACAAAAAATGAAAAGTCCTCACGTTTTGCATCCTAAATTTTAACTTGTTTGTAAATATCAACTAAATGATGTGATAACATGAATCAAAGATCACTGAACAAATTAAGCCACAAAATACTTGGTAACTAATCCAGATCCTGTTATAGAATGATGTAAGAGAACCACATCTTGAATGAAAGATACAGAAATAAAATCAAGCTCCCAAGATTATATCTTCAGAGCAGTTCTTGCCATCGCTAGAGCACCGTCATAAGTTTTATTTCCACCAATAAACCCGCTCATGTGGACAAAGACACAACCAGGAATTCCTGCCTCCCTTGAGAGTTCATCATCCCTCAGACCTCGCCACTGAGCTGGGAGGGGCTTCCGGCTCTCAAATCTATCAGGCGATACGCCAACTGCCTGAACTCGCCACTGGTTGCCCCTCTCATCCTGCACATTACATAGTCAAAAGGATAATGAGAATCTATCTCAAACTAAGGAAAACAGCATCGATGACTACAACTTTGATGATCAGGAAACAAAAGGGAAGAACATAAGCTACAGCAGAATACATTGCCCTCTGTCTGACACTAGCATCTACTCTAGGCCTACAAGTTCTGGAACATACCTCATAAAGAACATATTTAATAGGAGGCTCAACCTTCATCTCCTCCTCAAGCTCAAATAAGTGAAGCTTCCACTGTAGGATGCAAAATGAAATCAGACTTAGTGCAAATAAATGATGTATATTAAGTCAAGAATAAGCAAATTTGCCACAGTAACTTGGAAGAAATAGATTCATCTCACATCCTCATGATATTGCATAAGCTATTCCAGAAAAATTCAAACCAACTCAAGGAAGGTACTACCCATAGCATACACTTGTGCAGGAATCGTGGAAGCATAAAATTACAAAAGAAAAGAAACAAAATTAAGGACATTTACTTACAGGGCAAAACCTTCTCAAAACCATGATTTCACCACTAGGTTCTATATCATATCTCCCTGCAATGCACTCCATCACAATTGACCTTGCTGGTAACCATGATTTTGCATGAAAACGGACACTCTGAAAATTGAAGAAGGTCCTATTAAAGTTATGAAGAATCTAATACATATATTTATCCATTTTGAAGAGAAACAAATAATTATATCCAGGACTTTTGGAGTGAGGAACATATTGATAAATATATTTTAGGCATGTTTTAAATTTTGAAAGAGACTTACATCTAAGAACTCACTGCCAGATAGTGCCATTGCTCGTTGGAAAGCCTCATTCTCCTTCTCAGGTGATTGATCAGGATCTGTCCAGTCTAAATTTAATCTTCCAACCCTAGAGGATAAATGCGTATTGTTCACATATCTTGGTGGCTTGTCTGTATCAAACTGGTTGATTCCATTGTCAATTGCATCAATTGCCTGGTAAAAGCAAAAAATATTATCCCAAATGAACATCTAAATCCATAATCACTTAGCTGAAGCCCAGGAAAATAAAACCAAGGAAAGTGCAGGAAGCTTATGGTGTGAGAAGCCTACGGCGTTAATCCGATAACCACATAGTCATACTAGCCTGAACAAAATAAAGCTAGAGATTTTCATTGCTAATAAAACAAAGAAAAGCACAGAATTTATAGTCTGTAAAAACTCTTTCGAACCAGTTTCAAAAGGGATAGCAATATTCGTTTAACCATAAGATCCTAATCTACCTCCAGAGAAAGGAGCCAGAACTCATGGAATTCAAACCCTTTAAAACTTAACAATCGAAGATGTAAGTACCTCCATGAAGCTTTTATAAATGGCCAGAAATAATCTATGCACATCTGGGTGGTCTTCACCAAGCTGGAGCTCTTTAGCTATTATCTCCTTGCCAAAATGCTAAGAGGGAAAATTAAACTGATAATTAAGAAGCCACATAAACTACCAAAAAACATCATTTCTCAGATTATACTCTATGAAATGAGAACCACAATACCCATAAGCCAACAAGAAGAGAACCACGAGAAGCCACATAAACTACCAAAAAACATCATTTCTCAGATTATACTCTATGAAATGAGAACCACAATACCCATAAGCCAACAAGAAGAGAACCAAGAGAAGGAATTTTTAATGGCACAATGGAACAAATGAATACCTTGTAAACAAGTCCGGCACTGCTGAGCTTTGTATTAAATCCATGTCCGAAAACCTCCTCAAATCCTTTCTGGTGATGATCATACCGATCATGACTAGGATCATACACGCCTCCCACATCAAGCACAGCATCAAGCCCCTCCAATTCCTGCAAACTCAGATCAATCTTATAAAGAACCTTCAAAGAGTAAGCATAAAAAGCCAAACGCGAACGAAAATAAACTATCAAACTCTACATTGCCATGAAAATTTAAATCTTCCCAAATTGATTCTACATATTAAGTTTTGGAATTTATATGCTACAAAAAATTGCAAACAAATAAACGAAAAAACTCACTTTGTAAAAAAGCAAACGAAGCACGTTTTCTATACCCCAAAAAAAAACCATTACATCATTTCCATTCCTTCTTACTTTGGTACAAATTTTCCGCAATCAAACAGAAAAAGAATTAGAAAAAAAAGAAAAAAACTCACCTTGGGGTCTCGGGTACGGACAATCTCGGAGTTGGAAAACTTGTCAGTGAGACGAATCATGAAGCAGCCAAGGGCCTCGTCGCAGTGAAAGCTACCGTTATGGGTACCAACGCGCCTAGGTGGGGCGTGGTTTGGGGAGCCAGTGGAGTAAGCCGGGGAGGAAACCCTAATGAGGTTGGAGGTAGCCATGAGAGGGCGCGAGAGGGTTTTGTGCAAGTTGAAAAGCTTCTGGTTAAACCCTCCTCTTAGTTTTGCCCACATGTGTTCAACTCCCAAATTTTCATCCCCAAAACCCTCCAGTTATACACTATACAAAAACGGCAGGGTATTGCGTTTTCTAACTTTTCGATTACTGTATGGCTATGAGGGACTTCCCCTTTTTTTCTAAAACCTTGAGTAACACATGCGTAAATGTTAAAAGTCTAAGATAAATAAGAGAACTTGTCTCAAGGTGGATGTTCCAGGAAATCTAATTTTACTGTAAAGTTAATTAATAAAATTTTAAAAAATAATAAAAACTTATATAATAAGTTAATAGGTAAATAATATATATAATTTTTAAATTTATTTATTTTAAAATAATAACGTAAAAATTTTTAAATTTATTTGGTTTATTTTAAAAGTTATTTAACTTTAAATTTTATTTTATTTTTTACTTTAAATTATAAGAATATTGTTTAATATTAAAATTATATTTAATCAATTAATTTAATAAAAATTATTATTATCACTTAGTATGTTAACTCTTATACATTTGCGTTAAGATTTTAAATTTACTTATTCTACCTTTATAAGATTTTAATCAATTTTTATAACTTTACATCAAGCCTTTTTAATAACAACTTTTAACTATAATCATCTTTATTTTTTGATTTTTATTTAAAAATAAAAGTTTATATATGATTACTTACTTTTAACTAGATAATATAAATATAAATATTATTTTTTATTAAAATTAATTTTTTTACTTAATTAATTTATTATGTTAATTTTTATACATTTATGTTAAGATTTAAAATTTAATTATCCTACTTTTATAAATTTTTACGTCAATTATTATAGTTTTAAGTCCGAGCTTATTTATTTTATAATTTCTTCTTTTTAATGTGAAAGGTATTTTAAAATTAATTTTTTAATAGTATAAATAAAGAGATTTATGGGATCTTTAATTATTTTTAGGAGTTCTATACGTTTAAATAGCCGAAAATAGGTTTACTTGTGAGACAAAGTTATATCTACAAATAATTCTAATTAATTTTACATAAGCTGTTTGAGGCTTTAAATACCCAAATTCAATTTTATCAAACAAGTTCGAAAATCAATTTTCATAATCGTCAATCTTAAAAGTAACATATATATTATATAGAAAAAATTTATAATTAATCAAGCAGAGTTGATTTAATTGATTAATTTGTTAAATTTGAGTGTAAGTGATTTCTTGTTAATGATACATATGTTATAAATTTTAAATATGATAAATAAAAATTTATATATTTGTATCATAATTTAAAAGTTAGAACGATCTATAGATTTTATAATTTAATTTTTTTTAAAAATAAGCTTATGATTAAATATGAAACAATGATTTGATCAACGAATCATGAAACAAGACATTATATCATCAAGGCTTTAATTTGTAGGAATAGGGTACAAAATTTTATTGAATATCACTTTACTCAAAGATAAAGAGGTAAGAGAAAAATAAAATTCCAAGCCATCCGGGGGCTTGAGCCCCGAGGATGAGGGGTCTAATCCATTTCATTATAACTGGTGAAGAGGGAAGGATAACTTTTGCATAGAATACAAGACAGTAGAGCAATCTCTGCCTCAATGCCCTCAGCAATCACCTCTACTCTGCTTCTCTCTTCAAACCTCAGATCCCTCTCCAAACCAAGCTTTGGCATTGCACCTTCAACATGCCCAAAAAGCTTCCACAGTCTCACTTCTCCGCTGCTAAAGCCTCTCATCTTGAAATGCAGCAGTAACTCCGAGGAGAAAGAAACAAGCAACGACTTGAAGGACGCCCTTTCTGGTATTGTTGGCAAGCAGGTTGAGGAGCTCTTGAACAGAGAAGAGAATAAGGGCTTGCTTGATGGATTGGAGAAGGCCTCTCAGCGAGTAGAGATGGCTAAGAGACAGCTTGTGGAGATTGAAAAGCAAGAACTTGAAGCTCAATTTTTGGGAAATTACATTAACCAACTAGAAGCCAGGGCGTCTGAGGTCAGCTTCTTCTCCAATTCTGCCTTTTTAAAACCTTTCGTTTAGTTTAGGGAAAATGGTTTTATTGAAATTTGCATATATTGTGAAATTTGGGCGGTTTCAGTTTGTGAGAATTTTTCAAGATTGTAATGTTATTGCAATTTATATTTTCTGTACTGGAAAACAAATAGGACTTAAAATCAGAACCGAAAGTATGTGTTGTTCTCTTATGACTGTAACTTTGGCAATGTGGGTTTGTTTAGATTATCCATGAAAGGAAATATGCTTCTTGGATGATTGATGGGCCTGGTTCAAGTAAAATGGAAATTGGCTCGAATCTTAACTTGTTAATTAAAATTGTTGCATTTGCCTATAGATAACCAATGGGGTCCTGCTGTTAGCAGATGGCTGCTAGGCATCTTTTGCTCTTTTTTTAGTAGTAGTTGCAAAAGTCTGCTGGAACATACAGAAATGAAAAATAGATGGATAGAACGAAATGATATACTTCTCAGCCCTTTATTTGGGGATGATTGCTATACAAAGGTTTATGTTTTCCAAAATTTAATTTTTCTTCTTCATGATGAATGGGACAATTATGTATAGAAAATTGTAATTGATCTTATTAAATAATCATATTATTCTGTGACTACAATTAATATGATTAACAATTAACTAATTGAGATATTGTCTATGACTATTGATGTGTAAATTCTGTGAAAATTCAAGATTGCAGAGTGTCAGAAAGAGATCTCACAAGCACGAGCCATGGTTGAAGAAGCAGAACGCTCTCTTTCACTTCATGCAGATAATGTAGAAGATAGAGATGCTTTCAAGAGCAAAGATGGTGAAGGAATTGATAATGATAAAGAGAGATTGGAGTCTGTAAAAGCAGCTTTGGTATCTGCAGTTGTTGGCACCCTTGCTGGGCTGCCCATCTCCTTAACCCAAGTTTCAAGCAGGACTCAGCTGCTGCTCCCTTTATCAGCCACTTTTATCAGCTGTGCATTGTTTGGGGTATTCTTTCGATATGCAGTTAGGAGAGACTTGGACAATTTCCAGCTGAAGACCGGGACATCTGCAGCATTTGGTTTTGTGAAAGGTATAATTACAATCAAGTGCCAATCAATAGAACTCTTTATGTTTTTCCAAGTAGTCAGTAGAATATATGGGACGTTAAGAAGCTTAGCAAATTAAATGGGAGATTTTAACCATTTGCTAAAAAGGACACACATTGTTCTAAACTGATATGCAAAATAATGATGACAAATGCAGGTCTTGGTACATTGGCTGGAGGGTCACCTCTGGAGCTGGACCCTGGAAGCTTCTTGTCGCATGCTTTTGATGGTGCAGTGTATGTATCTCAGAATCTTATCATCTTTTTATTTGCTGCTGTTGGCTTGGATTTTTGCTTTAAAATGAGGATTTTAAGTCCATTTCCCATGAAAAGATCAGCTCCAAATACAAATACAAGATGATCAGAAGCCTCAAAGTGTATTTAGACTCTGTATATATGGTGCATTTTGACTGCATTTTGCGACACACTTGGATCACATTTTTTTTTCCCATGGAAACACGATAGCTGGTAAAAACAAGATGTTCCATGTAAACAAGAGTTGTCAGCAAAGAGTTGAAATCTTGTCTTGTATATCCATGGTTTGATGCAGTCTTAGTGGTTCATCATCACTGGACAAAGTGCAACCAATATACTCTTTTAAAGATCATTATCTTAATTTAATGTACTTGTAGTAAACTGCTTAACATAGTGGGTGCTAAAGCGTATGGCAAACCTGATCAACAGTTACGTAAACTGGTTTAAAATTCAGCCACTCTTGAGACAGATCAATTCAAAATCATTCAATTTAAATTGATTTGGTAGTGCCTTCAAAATTTATGCACGAAGGGCAATTTGTCATATGGAAGCTTGTTCATTGCATCTTCAACATGCCCGAAAATCTTCCACAGCCGCTGATGCAAGCATGTGGAGCAACCGTTCGACAGAGGAGAGGATGAGATGGGCTTTAGATATGGATTTGGAAAGGCTCACGCAGAGCTTGTAGAGATTGAAAAGTAACGACTTTTGACTTGAGACGAGATACCAGCCAGAGGCAAAAACTTATAGCATGTTTGGTTAGCCATTCCCCTTTATTCTCAAGAAATTTTGATTTTTTTACTTGATTGAAAAATAATCTAAGAAATAGTCATTTCATAAGAATGACTATTTTTCAAAATTCTCCAAAATTAAAGAATAGTTAATATCATCTTTCCCGTGGTATTAGCTATTTCATAGTTTGAGGAATAAATTCAAAAAATCATAAAAATCAAAATACCTTTCACAAGTTTAAAAAATTACAACTCTATTTATATAAAATATTATTTTTTTCTCTCCTCTTCCTCTCTCTTGATTTCAATTTTTAATAAAATATTAATATTTTAACATATTAATATTAAATTATAAATAAAATATTAATATTTAAATTATTAATTATTAATATAATAACTTATAAATTATTCCTATTTAAAAAATAAATTTAAAATAAATAAGCATAATTATATTTAAATTATATATAAAATATTAATAAATAAATAAGCAATTATTAATATTTAAAAATAAAATAAAAAGAAATAAAAAATTAATCATAATAATATTTAAATTAAATAAAATATCAATATTTTAAAATATTAATGATTAAATTATTAATATTTTAAATAAATAATCAATTATTAATATTTAAAAATAAAATAAAGTAATTTATCATAATAATATTTAAATTAAATAAAATATTAATATTTTAATATATTAATGACTAAATTATAAATAAATATTAATATTTAAATGGTCAATTATTAATATTTTAAATAAACCACTATCAATTATTAATATTTAAAAAATAAAATAATTAATCATAATAATATTTAAATTAAAAATATTAATATTTTAAATAAACCACTATCAATTATTAATATTTAAAAAATAAAATAATTAACCATAATAATATTTAAATTAAAAATATTAATATTTTAAAATATTAATTATTAAATTATACATAAAATATTAATATTTAAATTATCAATTATTAATATTTAAAAATAAAATAAAACAAAATAATTGATCATAATGATGTTTAAATTAAATAAAATATTAATATTTTAAAATATTAATGATTAAATTATAAATGTAATATTTATATTTAAATAATTAATTATTAATATTTTAATTAAATTCTAAATTATTAATATTTAAAAAATCTAATAAAAATAAATAATCATATAAATAATAAAAGGTGTTTTTATCTTTTTATTTTTTATTTTTTTATTTTAAAATTATTGTTACCAACCAAACACTGTAATAAGTTATAATAACTATTTCTGTCCTATTCCATTCGTCATACCAAACAAAGTAATAACTATTTTATTCTATTCTCACCTCATTCTATTTTCACATAATAATTATTCAATTCCATTCCTACCTATTCTACCAACCAAACGTAATTTTAAGAGTAAAAGTTTTTCGATTAAAATAAGTCAGATCTTAAATTTGTTATACTATGCACAAATCTCAAGCAAACTTTATTTTTATCATATCAACAAATTTTTTTGGTAAATTGAGATTAGTTTTCCTTCTTTAAAAAATAAAATACAAAACACTCCTTTCCATATTTATAATCTTATTTTTTATTGTTGAAAATTTTTATCCGTTGAGAAGTCTTAGTTATTGAGTGGATTTGCCTTTTAAAATAAATTTTAATCAAATAAAAAAGTTAACCAAAATTTAAATTGATTTCTAATTTGAATTTGAGTTAAATACCTAAGAAAAACTATAGTTTTGTGTGTTGTGGTGTCCTTGATCTGGTATATCATGAACTCTACCAATTCTAATCCTAGTAGTAACATGATTTAAATGAATGTAAAAGAAGTCAGCCTCGTGTTATTATGGTTCTGTTAATCCCAAGGCAGAAGCGTGGCAGCCATAAGGGTTGTGTGGTTTTCCTTTTAGATATTATTACTATGGATGTAGCAAAGCGTGAAAAGAGTTGCAAAGCTAATGCACCATCACCATCGCCATCGCCATCAGGTTATTCTGCTTCTGATAATCTGGATGAGAGTCTCTTGCTAGAAATTTTGTGTCGACTTCCTTGCCAAAGCGCTCATCGGTTTAAGTGCGTCTCCAAGCGTTGGTTCTCTATAATTTCCGATTCATATTTCATTCAACGGTTTGTTTTGGCTCATCCACAGCCCCCACCTTTCACACTCTTGTTCAAGTATGAAAGCAATGATCAGCAAAAGATGAAGATTCTGATAACGTCCAAAGAAGCGGTATTCCAATCCCACGGATTCACTTTGAGCTTCCTTCCGTGTTTCAAAGCCAGCGAAAAGGACCCTGTTAACATCCTAGCTGCCTGCGATGGCTTACTATTGTGCAGTTCTGCCGCAACTAAGGCTTGTCCCACTGTTTACTACATTTGTAATCCTTTGACCAAGCAATGGTTTGCTCTTCCTCCTGTTTATCATTGCAATCAAGAGGCCTATTCCGGGTTAATTTGTGAAAAAGGAGGCGGAGCAAAAGGAGGAAACGGCGCTTTTTCAATTAATGATCAATATAAGTACCGAGTAGTATGCATTGTTAGACACTCTACGACTGATTTGGCTGTGAAAATCTTTTCCTCTGAGACTGGCAGATGGAAGGAAATAATTCGCAGATACCGGGATTACTATCCTATGGTTTTCTTACACCATCACGCCATTGCGTATGAGGGAGTGCTTCACTGGTGGAGTCCATTGAACCGTAGCTTTGTCACATGTGATCCGTGCAACAAAGATGGAAATCTGAGATTCTCTTTCGCTTTAAACTATGAGGCCATGGGCATCGCGTTTGAAGAATGTCCAGGAGTTTGCAAGGGGCGTTTGCGCTTATGCCAGCAATTGCTGAGTCTGACAGAGGGATTTTCAACAATAAGAGTTTGGAACCTCGAAGAAGACCACGATGGAGGCAAATGGTGCTTGAAGCACCAATTTTCTTTGTATGAACTTCAGTCAGAAGATACTCAACTTGTCGAATACGCAAGGTGCTGTTTAATGCCTCGTTTCCGATTGCTAAGCGTTGACCTGTACGATGAGAACATTATATATATGTCTTGTCTTGGCTCTATTGTTTCATGCAACATGGAAGGGAAGACCCTGGAAATTGTCTCTGAATATCCAGCTGCAGATGGAAATTCCTATCAGAGTCGTGCCTACCCATTTCAGCTCCCATGGTGGCCAACTCCAGTTCCATCATATATAAACTAGGTCTCGCTTCATCCATTGTTGGATAGCGACCTAATTGTGTCTAATTACTATTTTATTATCTTAATATTAGGCCTTTACTTTTGGAACTGGGATACCTGCTTATTAATTATGTACAAGTTCTCGTGCGTTCTTCTTTTTGGCCATTAGTTCTCATGCTTATATAAACTGCCTGTGTTCTGTTTTCTATCAAAATTCTAAACATTGCTTCAGTGGAACACTCTTCCACACCCACAAAAGTTTCAAAACAATGACTGCAAGTCAAAATCGAACTAAACAGCCCTTTTACATACATAAAATTCTCTTAACTATATTTTCGTGAACATCATGAGTACAGATCCACTAACTCAAACAGCAATGTTTACAGAGGCTTAGGCATCCAACTCAAAATTAGTAATTCAGAACATCGAAATTTCATGTTCTCCGTCACATCTTGATCCTAAAATTATCTAGAATGCATTCAACTTATGCTGATGAACAAGAGCTATACCCATTGTGCTCGTCAATACCAATACTTGTTTTACTTGAAGTAGCTAACGTTTTCTCTAAGTCCAACTGCGACAATGGTCTTGGTACCTGTAACCAAAAATAAAAAACACAAGGGAGTTAAGGCAGATGCATAAGTACATTGCCATTGTATTAAGTCATATGTGTCACACACACACACACTCCAAGAAACTGAAAGGCAAGCTTCTAAAGTAGAGATCTTAGGTACATTTACCAAGCAACTTACTCCAAAAGAAACCCCTTCATTCAGTAATAAACACTGTCATTATCTATAAAGACTAAAGAGTGAAACAAGTGATATATATGTACTCACTTGACGCTTCTTCCCAGCCTTCTCATCATTTAAGAAATCCCTGAGAGGAATATATGCTGCTTGTTTGCAGAGCTCAAGCAAATCTGAACCAGTGTAACCTTCACACAGCCTAGCTATGTGGTCAAAATCAATATTGTCATCCACTCTCTCATTCTTCAATATCACCTTCAATATCTTTTCTCTATCATTACAGTCAGGTCTTCCAATTTCAAAAACCTGAGAAAAACGCCGAAGTATTGCCGCATCAAGCTCTGCAGGACGATTGGTTGCACCCAGTACCATAACTCGAGCATTCTCTGAATGCAAGTTTAAAAGAAAAATCAACTTCACAGTTAATAGAAAGGTTGACATGTTCAAAATTGACATGATGTACTATATATTATAAGCTATAGTGCTACATGCCAAACTGCTTTTAGCACAATAAACTCAAGAAACATCACTACCTAACAGTATTTAGAGTTTCAAAACAAATATCCAAACTTCACCATTCACCAAACAACCCACTCTATTTGAGCAGTACAAACTTTTTCAACACCTAAGAGATGTCTTTAAGAAATTGACTTTAAATGCGCAATGAACTCTACACATCAGGGGATGTGGCAAAGGGGGGAAAACATTTTGAATTTAAAACCGTTCCAATAATATGTATGGTACTAATAGTACTCTGTGTATTTAGTGTTTCCGATAAAATGATTAAATTCTGACATCTGAGACTGAAAATTTGTTTGAAGCTAAATACAAGCTAGCAAATGGCATTTAATTTGTTGTACACTCACAGATTAACTAGTATATTAGTTTACAATTGGAAGAAATAACTAAGAACACTCACGATCAGTGGTGAAACCATCCCACAAGGCCATGAACTCAGTTTTCATGGCAGACATTGCCTCATGGTCCTTGGCTCGTCGCTGCCCCAGAAAACTTTCCACTTCATCAATAAATATAATAGCCGGCTGTAGCTTGTAAGCCAAACTAAAGACAGCAGTCACTGCAATAATACACCAACAAAATATTAAAAATCTTATTAACCTTAAAATGTATAAGAAGGAAATTGTTTTTGAAAGAAATCCCATTCTGTTTACCTAGTTTTTGGGCGTCACCGAACCATTTACTCATTAAATTAGAAACTCTAACATTGATAAAGACAGCCCCAGATTCTTTAGCAATGGCTTTGGCAAGCATGGTTTTCCCTGTCCCTGGTGGTCCGTACAAAAGCACCCCTTTTTGGGGACCCAAAAGTTTGCCATAAGCAAAAAGCTCTGGCCTTTTAAGAGGAAGAATAGCCAGCTCGTACAATGCTTCTTTGATTCTATCAAACCCACCAACCGACTCGAATTCAACTTTTATGTCGTCTGGATTCACCACATCACCCGCTATCACATCCTGTATTTAGAAAAACACAAAAAACAAAAAATCACTTTGACAATACAAATGGGTTTTGAATCCCAAAAGAATTACTAGAAAAAAAAAGTTTGTTTTTTGGAGTGCCTCGTAGGGGTTGGTGTGGAAGAAGGCGCGACCGAGGCGTTTGGAGATGGCTTTTTTGTTTTCAATGGATTTCTTGGAGGATTCACGATTTAGGTCTAGGTGTTTGAGGCCGGCGAATAGGACCAGGCAACTGAGAGCGGCACTGGCTGCATATAAGAGTAAATCTTGTAAGAAGGTTGTTTCGGTACGACGGCCGCGGCCCATGGTTGTGTCCCCTTTCTAGGCCACCGCCGGAAATGTTAGAACTTGGAAAGGAAGGTGAGCGGAGGAGGGAAGGCGCTTCGCCGTTATGTCCGTTGGTAGGCCACAAGGAGTGTGATGTAATGAATATTAACCGTTAGGACTTAGGCGCGCTAAAATAGGGTACAGTGACGAGCTCCCTCATTGAGCCGAGGCCCCCAGGTATCTGGGCCTCCAGGAGTTGGTAAAGAAAACTGCTATGTTAAGGTCGGCTCGGTTTAGAATTTGATAATACTTCATTGTTTTTCAAAAAGAAAACTCCCCTTTCTTTTCTTCTTATTGGGAAGAATACCCTTCTTCTTCACTCTTCTCCACATAAGAGAAATGATGACAACATTGCAAGGATCTGTAGGTGGAAAAGAGAAATCATACAGCTTGCTGGGTCAAAAGGTTAGATGTGGGTTTGGAACTGAAAAATGAACTCCTAAAGTCAAAAATCCTCAGGCCCTTAAGTAGCCATCATCTGTCCAAACTACATTAGGTTATTCATTCATTTGCTTTTGACAAGTCGACAGGGATGGAATTAACCAACAGATATTAGTATTCATAATTAAACAGCTTACTGGAAAGACCTGCTGTTTCCCTCATATGTTTTGCAGATAAGAGAAAACAATATACTTCAAACACTAGTTGCCTGAATTTAAAGACCATCAGTAGATTACATAAAGAGTTGTTAAAATGAAATATTAAAGCAGTAATGTGCTTCTTTTAGTTTCCACAACTAAAGATACCATGGAAGCTCTCCTTCCTCCTTTGTGTCTGCACCAATCCTTGCCGCTTTTCTATAGTCATGTTTTGCACAAGTATACAACAAGATAACATCAACAGCAAAAACACTGGCATTCTCCATTTGGATCCAAATATTACAAAGCAGGCTGAGTTATGACAGTTGTTATTCTAGCGTTCACTTTTTCCATCATCGTCCCAATCTCCATTCGACTGCTCATGATGTTCTGATGGCCTCCTAGGAATTCCCCACTGCCGGATCTCATTTCTTGATTGATCTTCAGCATCAGGCAAATTCCTATATTCTCTTTTCGTCACCTTGATTTTATGAGCAAAACTTCTATCAGATATAAAAGCATATAGTCAAACAAGACAAAAAATCCTCAAGGGTTTCAAGACCCTGATACCTCAGGTTTCTTCTGTCCTTTGAAATGTGTATCATCCTCTCTACTCCTTGATGAAAGATGTTTAGCAGCCTCACTAAATATTTGAAATCCTTGAAGATCACCATTTTTTATACTTGCTTCCAGCTGAAAACGACAAGCAATCGAAGTCACAATGCTAAACATTTATGCACAGCTTCCAGTTTGTACTCAGAAGTGGCATCTTAAACCAGAACCAATCAACCATAAACTAAAGCAATAGTAAGGTTCAGAGGCTCCATAGTATTTAAGGGGAGAACAAATCATTGATACACAAAGTACCATTATGGCATAAGACTTTAATTCAGAGTTATAGGATGCCATGACATATTTACCAACATAACTATATAGTGATCTTGATAAATTCTGTACCTGGACATGGATAATGCAAAATATAATGCTAGAAATAGGAAGCCAGCTATCCTCTGGAGAAAGAGACAAATTTGATCTGTTAAATCAAAGGAAAAGTGCATAATTAAATTCACACACGCTGTCAAGTTACATTTTAAACAAAAGAATCCAAGTGTAAGAAAATCTGACTGTGTAGTCCATCAAATTGAGAAAAGTACAAAATAATCAACAACATTTTCATTCACACTTTCCTAATTGCCCAGAAATAAAGCATTAGGCGCATAACCAGTTGATATAAAAGAACAAAGGAACGGTGCAAGAAAGAGATCACATTATAATCAACAGATGGTTGTGCTCATAAATTTAAGAAACATCGTTTTTAAAGAAACCAGAACTTGACAGCAACAAAGCCAAGTATTGCAATAAACATATTATGAGCAATGCACAGATTAAAGAAAGCAAAAATAATTACCTCATTGAAGTATTGCAAAAGCTTATTACTTATGATGAAAAAACAGAAAGAAGTTGATAGCCATATTCAAGTTTAAAACTTGAAACCTCATAGAAAGAGGCATTGACAAGTTAACCAATTAGTTTTCTAGTTCATTATCCCTTGTGGATAGGCAGAAGACTGAGAAAACATAATCACCATAAGATCCGAAGTGTGAATAAAACTATAACTTGTTAACAACATGATAAAACAGTAATCATTACCCAATTAAGTTCCCAAGAAACGCAGTCCCTCCTGAGAAAAGGGAACCAGAAACAATCCTACCCTCTCACACTTTAGCGTAGAGGGCCGCTCCCAACTTACACCCTGCAGTCACACATGCCAGCTGAATACTCTTACCATCACACCCCAAAATTGTTCCTAGGAGCATATATTAAGAAGGTCCTAAGTTTATTTAGCTGAATTTTGAGGACAATAAAAATAAGAATTAAGTTAGCACTGTCTCCATGAGACCCACGTTTTTGACATCCTTGCAGCTCTCCAACTAAAGCAAGCTTGTTTCAACCCGATCACAGTCAGCATAAGCGTTCCAAAGACAAAATATTGGGCATTCATTCCAAAGCGATAATTTAATTGCTTGCACTAGGAAGCAACCGTAAAAGTGATACCTGAGGTAAGGAGCCAAGTATACAATAGAGTACACAGCGTAGCGCCGCTTCCCCGTATCAAGCCAAGCAAAAACCCAGCTCTATCAAAGACCAAAAAAAGTAAAAGGAAAAAAAATTAAAATAATTAGAAATTAACACGAAAGACACCCCCACCCTCACACCAAAAAGAAAAAAAAAATTCATTTTCTAACCAGCCAATTGAAGTAAGGAATGAAGCTGATAATCCCCATAGCCGCAAACCTCGTATCACCTGCATCAATAACCGAACCACTACCATCTTCCTCCCCAGCATCGGCAACCGGAAGAAGCAGTGAACTCAACATACACGCGCCGATTGCGGCAGCGAGGGGCGCGTCAGTTGAAAACTCCGCCCTGCATATTTCTTTCTTAATCTTCTTCTGTAACAATCCACAATCAGCAACCACTTAAACATAAAAAGGACCAAAAAGTAAAAGGAAAATTCTAACCTTTTTGTGGATTTTGGTAAGGTGATCAAAGGGTTTAAGTTTGGATATTGAAGACGGTGTAAGAGAAGGCTTGAAACAAAATGAAGAACAGGAAAAGGGTTGAGTCAGACAGCGGCTGATCATGGTTGGTTGGTTGCCACTAACATGAGCCGTGGACGAAGTACGGGCGCCCCTCCCTCACTTCATTTTTGCTTGCGGGAGCTAAAACATTGAAGCTCTCGAGCGTCTTATCATTTTCGAGAAGGGTGACAAAATCATGGGCTTTGACATGGATGGAGATCCTGGCCTGTGGGACCTTGGCTGAGTACGTGTAATATTAAAATTTGACATTTTTGAACAAAATGAATAAATTGTTTGAAGAAAAACAATAGAGATGATAACGCTGATTTTATGTGCTATCAGTTGGCGACATAAAGTCACAAGCATTCACATTCACCGTAAAAATAGATAGTAGGACAAAAAAGATAACTATACTGGTTGCTCTACCAATAGCAGTATACAGTCAGGTCCTATTCGGCCCTTCAACAAAATACTAACTTGTTCGTTTCAAAAAAACTTATATAATACAAAGATTTTCTGGAGAAAAGCCAACACTCAGTTAAATCTACACGACTACTTCCAGCCATGGTAAAAATAACTGGATCGGCTCTGGACCGACAACTCTCTTTACATGAAATACGAGTAAAAACATCCTCATGTACCCATAATAATTGCTTATTTCGTCATTGAAGTGGCTAAAATCTGCAAAGCAACGTTTCGCTCAACGTCACAGATTTTTGTAGTTAAGGATGCTCCCTCCCACCCTTCTACCATTGTCGATGGCCAAAAAGCAGTTCCCATGTCTGATAGGCAAAGAATGGTGGAACATAATTTTATCTGCATGATTTACATCTTTTGCCCGATTATACATGATGGTTTCACTTTACAGTAGTTGAGTTTACAGCTCTCACGCGTCGCCTTCCATTCTAATCCCGTTTTCTTCCACACCAGACATGGATCTTAGTTGTTGTTGCAACTGCATAATAATAATGAAACCATCAGACAAGTTGCTTATACTCCCTCTCCACATGATGGGATTCTTTATATATTACTAAGGTCAGAGAAAGGATGAATCAAGTATCAAGCCAGGTAGGAATTGTTTAAACCTAGGTCAACAACCAACACTCAATATCTTAATTTTGGAAAGCATCTTGTTAGACACAACCATGAAATAAAGTAGAGGCCACATTAAGCCCACAAATCACATCGTATAATAAGCTGTAAGAAACTCACTTGTTCATATTTCAACTTTTCAGCAGTCAATTCATCAGTCAAATTCATCATTCTGCAAATAGTGTTCAAGGAAGAGAGTATCAGAAGAAACTTGCATATATAGGTGAGTATCAGTCAAATTCATCATTCTACTTTGTATGGATTCACGCCAACCAACCTAGATTGAAGCTCCAAGATCTTGCAGAGCAGCAAACGCTCCCTCTCAGAAGCTGCCATCTCAACCTATTGAAAAAGAAGATCAGATAGGGGAAGAAAGAATAACCTACTAGCTAGAAATTTGTCATCATAAAATATGGATAAAAGGTTCTTACATTTCCATTGCTCTCAGAACAACGAGGTAAAGGAGGCAACTTTCCATTTTGTGTGGCTGTATAAACAAAAGCCAAAAAGAAATGGATTACAACACTGTTAAGCACTGTAATTTCTAATTTAATTATGTGAGTGTGATAGAAAGACCAATCTTTCACTAACCATCTACAACCTCAGCTGGCTGGAAGATATTCAACAAATTCACAATAAGATCCTAGCATTTCAAAAAAATTTCCCATGAGAAGATAATTAATTTTAAGGCAAAAAAATATTCAATCAGCAAAATGAAACACCAACTTACTGTCCCAACCCTAAGTCTTTACCTGTTGAAGTGAGGTTTGCTGGAAAAGATTCTGAAGGTGAGTCATAAAAATTGACGTGGGCATGTTACCATTGGTTAAATCCTTCGGGGAATGATTGGTAGGCTGAAAAACAGGGGGGAATCAAATATAATCATAACTTATTTACATAGACTAGTGCATTGGCATACTGAGCAGCTAGACATGTTCCACTACCAGATAGATGAAGCCACATAAGAGAAGATGAATTTACACTTGATTTGCATGAAGTTTGGTTACGAAGTTGTTACAAATGGATATTATTACCCTTCTTTCATTCTTGCATCCTTTTTGGCTTTTTGCTACTAGACGGGTCATTATAATATATATAATCATAGAAACAAAATCAGCTGAGCGAGGCAAGGCTTTTCTTTGCCTTCCAAAACACCTGCAACTAAATAAAGGTGCATCCAGGAAAGTGATTCCACCAATGCCGTTAAGTGGGTTCAGGCACCTAACTTAGGCCATGGAGGTTAAGGAAATGGGTTCTCCACATAAAGGTACTAAAGAAATGCGTGACAAAATGGGAGATCAAACATATTTGAAGGAAGGCAAATCAACAAGCCGATAATCTAGCGAAGACAGGCATTGGTAGAGAGATGGAATTAGTTAATGTATGGGGAGACAAATCAACAAGGTGTGCTGATATGAGGGAAGAGATTAATAGCTGAGTAGCCTACCAAAGTCAACAGAACAGGTTGTGTACTAGCTCACTGAATTATTTTTCCATTACTCTTGAGTTTGGGAGATCTTACTGGATTTTATTGGGATGTTATGCAGGTGAAATTCGTATTGAGTCGTGGTTCCCACACAAATTTTGACTATATAGTGGGTGTTTTTGTTTTGCTCGTGTAAGGGGCATATAGGGTGGAATACAATTCTGGAACTGTACGGGGGTTAGCTGAAGAAAAGGAGCATAATTTTGTACGGGTATACCCCCTGATCTTTTGTACGGGGCATAGCCTTGCAAAATTGATGTAATGAGGTGAACTGATGTTCTCCCGATTCGCTAATACATGCTGAAATTTCAAAAAAAAAATATATATGCCTCCCCTGGAAGGCAGTTAGGCACTTTCTGATTGGTGCCTCACCTAAGCACACACCTTGACAACATTTATAACAGATCCTTGAGCTTCAAAATGCAAGATGTTGCAATAAAATGAAATAGAACATAAATTCACAATCAACCACATTGAAGAGAAGATTTAGTGCACAAACCACTTGTTTGGATTCAAATATCCAATCACCAACGCTGGCAGACTTTCTGAGAGGCGAAGTCTGAAACTCAAGAAGAAACAGAGCAACCAATAAGGAGTGGACAATTAATATTGTTTATAGAAGGATATTTAAACAAAGACCAATCACCCACCTGTGAAGATCGGCGTGAAACCGTACCTAAAGGAATATCCTGGAGAACTTTATTTAGTTAGTGAAGTTGCACAGGAGAACAAATATAGCATCAAAATTGAGCTTTACCTTTACAAGATCTAAATTTTCTGATGTTACTGAAAATCGGCCTTTTATTTGCACCAGATTAGCCTTTGACTTGTCATCCAGAGAATCCCTAAACCCTGTTGAAGGAAACAAAGAATGCTACAATATATCTAAATCTTAGCAGCCACGTTAGTAGCACTGGCCATGATGCTGGTGACAAAAACAAACAACAATGATTCTAAATACTATGGGTTTGTTACCTCCTGATGATTTAATTGGAGCTGATAGACTGTTTGCAGATGCTCGATTAGGAAGCATCAATGGACCACTAAAGCTTGGAGCTTTACGAACTTGGCAAACTTTCTCATTCGCTAGTAAAATTTCGTTCTCAAACCTAATCATTAGCAAACTATAAGCTCAGCATCTACAAATTTCTCTTCCACTTCAAATGATTTATAAATTATTTTCTAAAATTAAAATAGATAAGAAATCAACCACACATGAACAATGCAATAACACAAGAAAATATCCTCTATTAAAAAAGGTATATGTAACAATCAGTTATAATCACATGTTCTCCTATTAAACAACATATCTAAGACATATTGCACTTGAATCAACTCAAAGCACAGTGGAATCAAGATTTGTGAAATAGTCACTTCTGCTTTATTGGAGTGAGAGCTAAAAAAAGCCCTTAACAACAGTATATTTTCATGACCTCATATGGCTTTCACTAGCCGACATTTAAACCATTTTAAATTAAAACATAACTCAACAGCACTAGCAAAACACATGAAAATAAATTAACTGGTCCATCTATAGAATTCATCTATTTTCACAATCACAGGCTATAAAACAGTCCAAAAGAAAAAGAACTATTTCAAGTTTGGTAGTTAACATGATAACCATGATCTGCAGCCATCATATAGCAGATTAAGTCCCCTCCTCATATTTTATAGGCTCTTTTAAACTACAATTAAAACCAATTGTGCTACATACTTATGCAAAAACATCATCAGTTAACAATTACTTGGACAAAAAAAGGGGTCCACCTCACCTCAAAAACCCCTAAAAAGAAAGTTGGAATGGACAAGCAAACCTAACTATGAACTGACCAACCTTTCTGAGTTACGAACCCGTTCTGAAGATGAATGATTAAGAACAGCACCAGGTGTGAGTGGCCCACTTTGAGTTTGCCTAGGTTTCACTGTTTTAGCCCTGGTCAATACCACATCCTTTTCTGAAGTTGATGCCATAACATCAATGCTTGATCCATTTTTCCTCAAACTGACAGTCTCCTGACGGCCAGCTTCAACTATATCACATTCCGGATTCTTTCCCTTTCCATTCAAGCAATCAGACTGTGATAAGTCAACATTCCTTGGTCCTCCAGTTTCAGCCTGAGATACTTCCCTATTTAAATTCAACTTTCCCAAACTAGATTCGCAGTAAGCTGCATCCTGTCAGCAAACACCGACAACCAATATTATTTTAACCATGTCCAGATATGTATCATACCGCTGAGGCAAAAAAAATACAACCGCTGACCTTATGACCAAGGCTTGATTTCATGCTTGCATCATCATCTTTGCACTCATGAATATCATCATCATCACGCACCTTAGCATAATACAGTGAAAAAATTAGTATAAAACAAGTAACAGATATAACAGACAAAGAAATTACTTCTCATACTATATGTCTATGGTAAAATCTTTATTATTAAAGGTTAGAATTGAAAATGTGGCCTACCAGAGATGCTTGCACTTTCAAATCCTCAATATCAAAGTTCCAGGCACTAACTCCTCTTTGGTACTCACTCTGACAAACACAAGACAACACCACCAGCAGTAAGAAAACACATATGCCCCAAGAGGACAACTCAACAGTTAAAACTTTCACATATATTATTTGAAGAGAAGTAAATCTGATTTAAGTAAAAAATGACTTTTGATGATTACTAACCTGTGATATAGCTTCTTGTTCTGCTGAAGGCATTTTCTTTAGAGCTAGTTGTGCAGCATCTTTAAGCTGTAAAATTTTGGACAAAAAAAAGAATACATTAGAAAAATACTGCAGACAAATGAAGCAAAATACCTGCATTGTGGCAGTGCGATCACTAACCTGGAGGGCTTTCACACGATTCCAAAGTGGTGGGAGATCAGCAAATAATTTCTTCACAGAAAGCTCAGGAGGCTTTGCATGCTTGAAAAAGGAGTGCTTTAATAATTTCTCTGCAGTTGGCCTCTTCGTTTGATCTTTTACCAGACACATTGCAACCATTTCTTTAAAAGACTGATCACAACTGGAAATCTTTTAATTAGAAATTGGCTATGAGTAGTAAGCAATTGCAAAACACCATTAAATGCACCTATCGACATGTTATGTTCATGATGACCGATAACGTGTCTGTCACTGTGATCATCTAACCAGAAAGAATAGCAGTACCTTAGAGAACTTCTTATCACGATCATAATCAAGTCCCGGCGGAGCATTTTGTATGGTCATCAGGAGAACCTGTTATTGTAGAAAGAAAAGTAGAAAAACATAAATAAGATTTTGACTAAAAACTCACATTATATATAAATTCTTGCTATATTTTCAACTGAAATACGATACCTTCATTGGTGGATATTTTGAAAAAGGTGCATGACCATGAGCCAACTCCAATGCTGTTATGCCAAATGACCAAATATCAGCCCTGTGCAAAATGCAACCAGTTAATGAAAATACAATATTAATCTAGAAAACAAAAATGTACCATTTCTTTAAATGTACCAAGAGATACATCAACCCTGTATGCACCCAAGCCAAATTCAATGCAATCCAAGCATAATTGCCATTAAGTATATAAACTATAGTCAGACTTCCATAGTACCATTGGTATGCAATGCATATGCAAATTTAGCAACTTTGAGCAGCATAGATACTTTAGTAACAAGCCATGAAGTGTGGATAAAATGAACAAATACAACAGGAGGACCAAAACCATGACGCCTTGTAAGTTCAGGCCAACAACCAACCGCTGCTACCCAGAAGCAGAAAATACTGTGTACGCTAAGATGTCATGCCTACTGAACTTTGTTCAGTGATGATACGTGTTTAGGCAAAATTCTAGGGGCCTTAAGTATTTTTTAACATCTCAAACACAGATTAAAACTCACTTGGAGTTATATCCACTTCCTGGCTGCAAGACCTCTGGTGCCATCCTGAAAAGAAAGAATAGATTGGAATCTCAAATCATGCAAATTCAAAAAGAAAAAATAATTTCTATCAATGCCATCAGAGTGGGAGAGGAACAGAAGAGAAATATAATCGTCTAGCAGATTTGACAAAGTTAGCTCACCAGCAAGGCGTCCCAACAAAGGTATTTCTAGAACGTTGTCTATCTCCTGCATCAAACATGCAAGCTGAAACACCAAAGTCAGCAAGCTTTACTGTGCCATTGTTATCAAGCAGTATGTTCCCAGCCTGTAAAGTCAATTAAAAACAAATCAAATCGAAGTAATAATAAATTCATTTGGATAAAATAATTTGTGAACTTCAATGGTACACTGACCTTAACATCCCGATGAATATGTCCTTGTCGATGAAGATAATCCAAAGCCTTAAGAGTTTCTTTCAGAATAGAACCAATAGCAGGCTCTTCAAATCCATCAGGATAAGCTATCTTCATGAGGTGCAAACAGGAACCTTCTGACATGAATGGCATGACTACCCACAGGTTACTGTCAACTACAAACGAACAAAATGCCCGAATAACGTTTGGGTGATCAATCAAACTCATCGTTTGAGCTTCCCGACGTATGTCATCCTGCAAAAGAGCATTTTCCATCAAGAAAGCCACTCAAGAGTCAAGAGATCACAAAGAGAGCAGGTCCATGGAGAGTGGAAAATATAAACCTAACCATACCACTCATGATACTACCAGTTATAAATCATCTAAATGACTTCCCTTATAAAAGATTCCAATATATATACATGTATACATCTACACACACACACACACACACACATAATATTGTGGCATGCACATTCTGAGTAACTATTACTATCAAAAGCATAACTTGTTCAGTAGAATGATCTATATGTATGAAACAAACAAGCATACCAAAAGATTTGCATGCATGAATTGGAACTAAGGCTTTGTTTGGATTGAGAGGAAGCTAGGGGAAAGAAAAGGAAGGTATGGAGAATGGTACGGTCTCCCTTGTACAAAACATTTTTTAGGGATGGGATTTCAATCCCAATACTAACAAGCAACAACTTTTAAACTCTCTAACCATTTCATATCTTTGGCATATCAACTGGACAATAATTTAATTCCTCTAAAAAAAATCCCAAGGATCCAATGATGGCAGCATTACAAAGTATTCCAAAATGGCAGATATCCAGCTTTAGGTAACCATGGAATGTTGATAGACTATCTTAAACACACAAAGTAGCAAATGCAATTCAGCACTAAAATGCCAAATCAACGGTACAGACACTACCATAAAAAAATTTATTTATTTTTTTTAAATCCTATTTGGTGGTATGGTTCGGATAACACTATCAAATAGGCTTTCATTGGAACCTCAGAAAAAGTTAAATCTAGAAGATAAAAAGAACAACTTTCAACTTTAAACAATTTCAAAAAGGAACAAATACCAAGCATTATCTAGAACTATAAAACATATATATCTAAAACTTCAATTCAATTATCGTCCAAGACCTCATAAACTCTGAATTCCAATAATAATAATAATAATAATAATAAAAGAATTTCACGATTCAACTCCACGAAAAACAATAAGTGAAATCCACAATCAAATAAAATTTGATCAAACAAGATCTCTATTCAAAATTAACTAAAATAAAATCAAGTTACAGTCATTCGTATTTGAGTACAAACAGTAAAAGTTAAAAAAGTCGAAAATTAAAGTCAAATAAAGAGGAAAAAAAACGAACCAGATTACTGCTGCAGCGATCGAGATCCAAGCACTTGACAGCTACAACGTCGTTAAAAGGAAGATAGATCGCTCTGTAAACAGTAGCACTGGCGCCATAACCAACCTCTTCTAGAAGCTTGTAATCGCTAGGATTCGCTGAATAACTCATCTGACTTCCTCCCATTCTCCGCATACCCTAGAGCCGCTCTTAGAAAAGCAAACCAATCGACGTCGAGAAATCGCCGCTTTAAAAGCCGCAGGCACAGTAGCTAGAGTAAAAAGAATCGTCGTGACAAAAAAAAAAGGGCGGCTTTTGTTGTTTTTATTGTTTGGTGAAGTGTTTATTTTGATCCGTTGACCGCCATGAATAGCGATATAGAGAGGGGACTGGTTTGAGGGCAAGAGAGAGAGAGAGAACGGGGTTGTTGCTGACGTGGCTGTTTGCTTCTAGGTGATTGGGATTTAGACACGTGGATTTGATGCTTTCATGAATTGGTGGTGATCCTGCTGTTTTCCTTTCCTTTTGCGATTTTGATTTTATAGTTGGAATTTTCGTTATTTAGTTTTAGTTGGCTAATTTTGGGCAGGTTGGAAATCTTGAGATTTGTGATTTTATTCTCCAATGATTTAGGAAATAATCAAACCATATATATTATTCTTTCTTGCTAAAACTATACAAAGTCTAACATCAATGTTTATAAAGAGTTTCAAAATTAAGCTAGCTTTAGATTAATTCACATGCTTTACTTTGATACAAATAAGTATAAATTAAAACTAATAAATTTACTTCAAATCTTAAATAAACCTTAAACATATTTCACTACATTAAATGGCGAAGGAAATTAGGACTAATAGGAACTCCATTTCAAAAATTTTAAAATTTTATAATATATTTTAAAAAATTAATTTTTACTTATAAAATATTTTTTTTGTTTAGTGAACTGTCCCACAATAAGAAATTAATAACTAATTTGTACTTAAACATTTATCTCATTAGTTGGTATATGATTTATATCTAAATAACAAAATTCGAATCTTATGTCATTAAATAAAAAAAAGTAATTAATAACTAATCTTAGTAGACTTAAAATAACTAAAAATAAAACTTATTGTAATTGAATTATTGCTCAAAGCTCACTGTCCCAAAACCTCACAATCAACCTATCTCTTGTTCATCTCCAAATGTGAAATCTTAGCTTCTCAACTGACTACATTTAACATGTGTTTAAAACTACAGAACTTCATTTATATATATATATATATATTATTTTCCATAATTGACTAATATCAATTTGTTATTAGACGAAGTTATTAATTTTTAATTTTTGTATGATTATAAAAAATGTAAAAAAAATTGAGTGGGGAAAAAACCATATTTGCTCATTGATTATGCCGAAAAAAGGTATTTTATTACAATAACAATTTTATATTGATTATTTGATGGATAAAAAGAAAAAATTGAAAATACAAAAAAGGGGTGCATGAATGTGTTCAGTGCCTAAATTTTATAAGTGCAAAGGTTCATAGTCATAGGGAGGTAACATATCATGAATGATTGAATATTAAGGTGAGGTTTAGACGCTTCTTTTTCTTTATAAATTGAGTCAAACCTAGGTTAAACATACATATAATTTGGGCCCCGAAACCTAGTAACCAAAAATTTACTGTGGTTACCTGCTAATATGAAAATTAAAGCAACAGAATGCACAATCCTAAGTCCTAATCAAGTCAGTCTATCATCAATATTCTTTGTAGTTTGATATGAAACTCTCTGGGTAATTAGTGGTAGCATGGTAGGGCTCAAAAAGTCTTCCATGATAACTACAAATCTACAAGAAGGGGTTTCCTTCCACCATTTTCTCCCTAAACAATAAGAAGAAGTGGTCTACACAGTTATAGGCCGTTTCAAGGGTTAGGGATTCACGTGAATAAACAGCATTTCACTTTGTTTTTGGTTGACAGAAGGGGCAAGTTGTTGTGGATTTAAGCCCGCTCTACTTGCAAATAGCCAAATTTCAGAAAGGAGAAAATAAAATCCTGTATAAATATGTTCGAATAATTTGAATATGAAACAAGAATTGGTAATAACTAATGATAATCACTCTAAATTCGAGTTTCAAAGTTCCAAAATTGGGTAATTTACATTTTAAATAGACAAAAAAGGGCCCTTTGTTGTTTCTCTCAAACTCAAAGCAGCCTCATGCGCCTCAAGCTCTTGGCAAAGGCTTTGGAGACCAAGTATCCCACCCCAAAGCCGATGACCCAAAGACCCACATCAACGGCCCATCTCACTCCCTCTACATCCATCTCCTGGCCCCCACCGCAATCTCCATCACACCTTCCTTCCAAACCTTCACCGTCCGATTCCCCACAACTGCAGCAACATCCACCGTCCGATTCACTCTCTCCTTCCCTCTCCTCTGGTATCTCCTCCAGCTGATCGAAACCCACCCTCCTGTTCTTCCCCCTCTTCCTCACTACCATCTCCACCCTCTCTCCCATCGGCACATCTCCCTCCACCGCCACGCACACATCCACCACCGCCCTGTCAATGCCAACAGTTTCGCCATCCCATCTATCGATGGCGCACTTGCATTCCAAATTCCACTTTTGCCTGTCATCTTTCCTGAAAATCCCTTTCAACACCTTTTCCTTTCTTGAGTAAACCTCGAAACGGACCCCATCCTCGGCTCGAACCCGCTCCCTGCTCCCATATATCGCCCCTCCAATTTTTGTCTTCACGTTTACCATCCGGTGGAGAGTGACGAACGCTGGGAGATCGGGTCGGACTTTGGACCCGGAAACTTCAAGCTTTGTCTCATTGATTCTGGGTGGGTAAAGTAAAGTGAGCGAATCGGATAACGGCTCCGTACAAGAATCCAAATCCGAGAACCGTACAAAGAAAGCTTTGATTTTCAAAAGATTTTGATGGCCGGAACGAAAGTCGTTGTAATCCGTAGACCTACACATTTTTCAAAAGATTTGTTGTTTTGGCTGAAATTGAATCAGAAACACTACTAAACTGTTTAGGGATATATATTTTGAGAGTGGCCGGGGAGGCGGCTGAGGCGACGTCGGTTTTGGAGGATCAACGGGTGGAGAGCACACGGTTTTTGCTGCTGACGTCAACAAAAAGACAAAAGCAATCGATTTTGTCGGTTAAGCGGAGACTTTGGTTGACTTGTATCTAGTGTTTCGCGGAGTTGTCAAAGATGATGGACTAGTTAATTTGAGGCGGATGGAGAACTGTTGATTTCGTTCCGTTAGTTAAGGGTTTTGTTAAGAGGTGCATGAACCGTCATTGTTTTGCATTTTTATGATTTGGACATTTGTGTGCAATTGGGTCTTTCTACTTTGGTTTGGTCGATTTGATGTTGCGGAAAAACATGCCTTTTGGGGCCGCTGATGTTTGGTACTTTTGGCTTTCTATTACAACTTGTTGATTGTAAACATAAAAGTTTGGCAAAAGTTCATTCCAAATGTCCGGTTGAACTTCAATTGCGGTTCACATAATTTGATTTAAAAATTAATAATTTCAGTTTGTTTAATTGAATTTTGAATAATTCAAATTGATAATTTGAAAACTAATTTCCAATAACTCCAATTTGAATAATTCATTTAAATCAAATTCGATTATATTTTAAAAAAATTTACAACTTGAAGTTGAAAATGTTTTGAATTGAAATAATTTGTTTTTGGAAACAAATTTTGAACTTGAATAATTCGAATGTCATATTTAAATTAAAAAATGATTTAAAATAAATTGAATCCAAATAATCAAATCTAAATTTAACACAACTTATTCAATTACTGTATTAATAATATCGAATGTATCCATGCCAAGTATTGAATTCAAAACGATGCAGATTTAAAAATAACTTGAAATGACTTTGATTCAAAACAATCATATCTAAACTTAACTCAACCCGTCCAATTGTCGTGTTAGCAATACTTGATGCATCCATGTTGAGTGTTGAATTCAAAACAATTCAAATTAAAAAATAACTCAAAATACCTTTAATTCAAAACAATTCAAATTAAAAAATAACTCAAAATACCTTTAATTCAAAACAATCAAATCTAAATCTAATCGGACCGGTCCAATTGCTGCGTCCGTAATGCAGCAAGCATCTCTGTTCAGTGTTGACTAGGCTTTAAATTTTTTAGTTTTGGGCTAGGCTTAAAAAGAGCAGTACTCATCCGAAGGAAGGCTTAACAGAAGAACCTGGGCTCAAGCCCATAAAAGAGGATTGGGTCTAGAATTGGAGGATCCTTGCAAGTCGGCAAGGGTACCTCCCAGTGGCGGCAAATTCATCTACTAGTAAAACTATCCACGAAACACAAAGACTTGCTGCTTGAGAATTGACACGTATACGAGAAATCATGCATTAAGATATTGTGAATGGGGTTAGCTTCCTTATTCATAATTGGATAACAAGAGAATTGTCAAAGATATTCATGTATAACATTCTTGTTTTATTTATGTATATTGTTAGAATTATATGATTGAAATTATATCATTGAAGATAAACTTACATATTAAATTTGTCTATTTGTAATATTCAAAATACATTGAATCACTTGATTTACTTGGAAATGATTAAGAATAGACAATTTGATTGACTGGATTTTAGCATTTTACTTTTTTGTTTTCTAAAATCATATCACGTTTGAAAAGACTAGTGACAAAAGAAAAAATTTCGAATCATTACAAATTAATTTTGTTTTTCTTTTTACTTGTAGAAAATTCAATGCCATGATAGTACACAATCAATGTGAATTTAGTGATACCATGTTCTAAAAATTTTCAAACCATGAGTGTGAAAAGGGAAACCCAATGTGATAAATGGTAGAAGAAGTTCAATGGAGGAGCTGCTTTCTGATTGCAACACTCCTGCAACCATGTTTTCCAAATTCGTAGTACTTCGTCCTTTAACCTTCATTCATTTTTTTTTTGCCAGGAATTCAACAAATGCAAAGACTTAACAGCAAACTTGTGGGGCAAATAAAATAAAAAGAGTCGTCTTGTAAAAGGCTTCATGATTTGACAGGCAAGCAATGAATAGCTTTGCCGTTTAGCTAGCTAATTTCTTCCTGTGAGGACCTAAATAGTTAACCATTATCAGACTTTGAAACAAAAGAGTCGATTGCATGCATAATTAACTCACGAGATTATTATTCTATTTCAAAAAATTAAAATATGTATAAACATAACATCCATATTAATAAAAGTTTTAAAATTTTTTACTTGTTAGATATGAATTGAAACACTTTATTTTCTTATGCATGCACCTCAATTCACAAACTCCATTATAAATTTTGCAAAATTTTGTTTTTCATTTTTAGCTTTGCTTCGGTAAGTTAGTCCGTCGTTATGCAAATTACAAATATTTAGGTATATGAAAAGTATTCTGAGGACAGGGGAGGACTATTCGGAGGGTTTTGGTTAGGCTGGTAGTGTCTCACATCTTCCTTTAGAAAGTGCTAAAGCACAAATTCAAAAAGGGCACTTTCCATTTTTCTATGGTCCGGTCTGCAGTGTTACAAGCATTCTCAGCTCCTACTTTTCTAATTTTCTATCACCAGAATGGTGAAGAAAACAGATCCGATCCTTACTGCACTTGAAATTGTCGGTAAACTTGCTTATTCGTCGAAGAAAATTTTGATTGGCATCTGACACTTGAAGAAAACATGCACGTGAAATTGTTTTTTGTTTTTATAATTTATACGTTATAAAATTTGACATCGAATGACCCGGTAACACTGCCTCAAGTAAAAACTATTAAGCCATTACTGATTCAAAAGCTTGTATAGTAACATTTTTAGAGGACTGAGAATGTATTATATATACTTGGCTAACTCTTCTGGACATAATGCATATTCTGCTAATAATTGCATGGACAACTTCAGCATATGGTGGGACGTCGCGTGTTTGATCATTATCTGAAACCACTGAATAATTCTGGCCCTAGTATGATAAAGAAGTGCAAAACAACTCATCTCATTAGCCAAAAGCACCATTAAAGATCAGACCTTAAATTGGGATGGGTGTTGGGAGATTTCTGGCTTCATTTTCATAGTTTGCTTTCGGCTAGAATCTTTCAATAACTGGTGGCATTTGAAGGCATTTTCAATATCAATTATCGGGCTGTCCATTTCGGTGCACTGTGTGGCTGCTGCGTGTGGTGAGCTCAAGACCATTGCTTTTTACAGGAGAGACCCCACTTCCATGACACCATATACATCCCTGTAGCTTATCGTCTTTCTTTCTTTGTTTTCTTTTTTCTTTTTTCGTCGGAGCAAATCATAGTTACCAAGAAAGTAGGAGATCTTTTTGTTATTACTCGTGACCGTAAGGCAGATCTTATCGGCATAGGTGGAAAGAAACTTCTGCTCACACTTGAACATTTGAGTGATTACTGCTTGGAAGTGGAAAGGGCAAAACAACGAAAAAGTCAGAAAACAACTGTACCTCGAAGAGTTAAAACCCCCCCAAGTTGTAGTATACATATATAATAGTTGAAAGGAAATTAAACATAAACAAATAAATAATATACTAACACTTAATCATTGGTCTTTCATGACTGGTATAAGAAGGTAATAGACCTTTTTCAGTTCCTAATTCTGACCTCAGTCTTACAAGTAATGTCTAGAAAGTAGAACTGTATTGTCACGCCTCAAATATGAGACACGACAACGTCTCATATTTGTAAGATATAATTTTTTAGATATGTAAGGTTCTAATATATATACTTTATACTATTAATTAAATGAGACCTATATACCTAAGAATATAATGATTTGTAAAGTTAAATTTGTTGGTAGAAATTAAAAAAGTTATAATTTGATAATATCTAGAATTAAGTTCCTAAAATCATAAAGTTAACATATCAAGATAAAAGCTTGCATATTAATTTAAGATAGTTTGATGTTCGTAACATTTAAATAAATCCTAGACAATCTAAATCTATTTACTAGATTACAAAATATCATCAAATTTCCACGTGGTTAATCAAATTATAATCTGAAAAAAAAATTGAAAGAACGAGTGAGTCCAACTATTCAGCAAGTAATTAACATCTCTTTAACCCGATTAAGCATGCTCAAAACATTAGACCAAAATATCATTGATCATATAAGTATCAAAAGAAAATTTTAGATAATCTCATTTAGAATCACATACTTCAAAATTTTACTTTTAAATAATAAAATAAACACATTTCATAAATAATTAGATTTTAAAGGTCTCTTATAACATGCTACGACTACACTTAACCCCCGTGACATAGGTCACAAATAAATCCACAATTACCTTAGTGGCACGAGGTAGAAGTATATTAAAAGCAACCATTAGCTACGCTAAATAGATATCAGAATTACCATTATTCTGTAACCGGCAATACTATTGGAAGATCGATTTCTAATCACCAAATACATGTCAACATAGTCAACATTTAACTCCCATTGGAAAGGTCAAAGTGTAGCCATGAAAATAGAAACATATATTTTTAGATTACTCAAATTTCACAAAATAGTACATCCACTTTCTCAAAATATATCTCATGCATATCAAAAATATAATTGTATCAAATTAAATATTCACAGAGATATTCATATGTGCATACATTGATAAAAATCACGTTTCAAAACAAAATCAAAATAGTATTCCAAAAATCAATATAGAAATCATATTTATTTACATATATTAGCATGCTCACTTGATTTAACAAATCATATGATAAAATATTATATTCAAGTATAAAATCACATGAAGACAAATTTTAAGATGTGAAAACACCGAAAAGATATCAGTCATTTACTTGATTTGTCTATATCACTTTTAAGTAACAAATCAGAAAATGCTCTTAGTAACCTAATATATCAAGAAAACATATGTAAAAATCATAACTGAATTTGCAAAAAAAATCCTACAAGGTGACTTCCGTTGACTATCCTAAGCACTTAGGTATATAGCGATCTCTATTGCAACTTAAAAATATTTTTTATTAATAAGATAATATTTTATTATTATTATTTTTGAATTAATAATAAAAAATTTTCAAATAAAATTGAGAATTAAACTTAAATCATAAAATCAGTAATGATTTTAATTTTTGATAGAATGATAATATTAATTTTTTATATAAAAATCATATTTGTAATTTTTTCTTAAGTTTCGATATTTTTATAAAATCTACTAATTTAATAAATAAATTTATAAAATATAAATATACATACTTTTAGATATAAAAAATATAGCGGAAATCACATATTTAGTATTTAGGAAGTTTACAGCATAATTTATTAATCATTCATTAAAATCAAATTTTAAAAATAAAAAAATAAAAAAATTTCTATTTTTTAAAATTTTCAAAATTTAGATGGTCATTTGACTTATTTTGAGCTCTTGTAGCTCTTAACCTAAATTGTTTGCAGTGATAATAAAATCAACACTAATTTAAAGTATTCATATCATACTATAACACTAAAATTTGTTTCGATTAAAAAGAACACAAGATTCTCAAGTTTCAAAAGCCAAAAGTTTATAAATCTTTATAATATTAATTAACTTATTTTGAGGCTTTAATTCTCTTAACACAAGAAGCCCTTGATTGAGTCATTAACGCCAAATTAAACATCTGATTTCATACTACAAAAGCTCACAAAAAAATAACTTAAAATATTACTGGAATATGGAGTTCCAATGACCCTAATTTGAGTCGTTAAAATAGTTAAAAATTCAATTTTCAGTCAACTTAAAAAATCCGTATCTTACTAACCATAGAACTAAACAAGTTGCTACAAAAACCATTGAAAAGATTTTTTCAACACTTTTCCTTTGGTACCCATCATGTCACTGGAACAATATTGAATTTGAATAAAAGTTAAAAAAACATAAAATAATTTAGAACTTTTGTGTCCAAACTATAAAAATATAACACTAATCATACCTTAATCAGCAATCCCTTGAATATTTTTTCCTTTTCTTTATCTTCTTTTTTCTTCTAAGATTAAACTCTTTTGATTGTCTTTTCTTGAAATCTGATGAGATAAAAATAATGTTAATTCTTTACTTTTTTTTTAAAATGAAGTAATTGTCCTTAACATATATAATTAGATAAATAAATTGACTTTAGCTCTTTTATTTTTTCCTTAACATTTTTATTATTTTACTTTTTTCTTAAACATGATTTAACATATATAATTAGATAAATAAATTGACTTTAGCTCTTTTATCTTAAACGTGACAAATAAAAATGAATTCTAATTAAAACTTTTTTATTTACTTAAAAATTCTTTCTTCTATTTTCTAATTATTAAGGCACCTAAAATGATAACTATGAATACATAAAATAATAAAAATAACATCTAATTTATTTTTATCAAAACTATACCTTAATAAATTTAAATATTTTTATAATATATATTTTGTGACAAATATCACATGTGTGTCATAAAAAGTGGGGCTTAAATTGTTTGTCCAGTTCCCTAGATGAATTTATTGGTTTTGTCTTGTGTGTTTGTCATTTGTTATCAAACTTCGGCTGATTAATTCGTACGACTGTGGGCCTTGCTCATTTATTTAACATATAAAGCGAGAATCCGTATTCTTCTTTATTTACTTAAAGACTCTTTTTTCTCAAACATTTAAAAATTATAACTGTAAATAAATAAAGTAATAAAAATAATATTTATTTATTTTTATAAAAACTATAATTTAATACATTTAAATATTTTTATAATATATATTTTATGAGGATTATTACAAGTATGTCATAAAAAGTTAGGCTTAAATTGTTTTTCAGTTCCCTAATTGGATTTATTGGTTTTGTCTTGTGTGTTTGTCATTTGTTATCTAAATTCGGCTGGTTAACACGTACGACTGTGAGCCATGCTCATTTGTTTAACATATAAGGAGAGAATCCATATTCCACGAGGCATAGTCAGTTACTTAACCAGCCTCGAATCTAACCGGTTGGTCAATGTGAAGGGGGATAAAACTTTTGAGCAGAGAGAAGTTTCGTTTCCAGTGGATTATTGTTTCAATAGATATTTGATTGAATGCCTTTTTTGGAAAAAGGCTTTCCATACTCCATACGATTAACCATTACTATGCATGCACCAAATGGATACTTCTATCCATAGATTTTTTTTTATTTTATAATTGAGAGAAAAGATATTTGAATTTTAATTTTTAAATAAAAAAAATTATATATCAATTAATGAATCAAATACTCGAGTGTAATATTTTTATTCATAACTGATTGATGAATTGAGAAATTTAACAAGTTATACACATTATCTTAAACGATTTTGAGAAGACATGCAAAAAAAAAAAAGAACTGAAAAACAGGAATCCAATCAAAGACTGGCACATGCATTTGTCAATCCAATTATATCTAATGTGTAGAAGTTGTAGAAATCAACAGGGTAGCAGAACAGAGTGAACAACAATAAGATAAGAATTAAGAAACATCGCAAGAACAAGAACTCTGGATATTTCGCATGCAGCAGGGAAGAAAAAGCCTATCCGAATCTAGATTAGGGCCTACTTACAGTAACAAAAATCAATGGGTTTGGTATTACGAGTAAAAGAACAAAGCACTCCATAGACTTTATGACCTCAACGTGAACATAATGTCAGCCCATCATTTTCTGTTCAGTTGGATTGACTGATACCCACATAGCCACAACTCCACAATCTTCCAGAGATCATGTTTGAACCACACTTGGCTGAAAAAAAAAAAAGAATTTCTCCTCTCAACAACACCATTATAACAAACTCAATGGCCTAGAAAAAAAAATGATGAGAGGCCAATGATAAGGTCATCGAGCCTTTCCAAAAAAATAAAAGGAAAAGAAAATTCATCCAATAATTATGCCAACGACTCGTTAAGTAAGCTGTCTAACTTACAAGCTTTATTATAAATACTTATAGTCTAGTGCCTGCTCCTTCATATACAAGCATTTTATTCGATGTTCTTTCCCTCCTATTGTTAGAGAAATCATTTTCTATATTTGTCAATTTGGCAATTGAATGAAACTAAGTAGGCTCTGAACAATATATTTCCGCTGTTAGGTGGGATTTTTCTGTGGTGTAATGAATTATATATGAAGGCTAGGTGTAGGTTGGGGAAAAGGCTGAGGAAGACAACCTTTTATTGAGAAGGCAACTAAGATCCGCACAGGTTTCACAGTGTCTGCTTCATTGAGAAGTATTTTAAGCATGTTTCAAGAGAAGCAGACAGAGAACCATTTGGCAACTTGATTGACACTGTGAGTGTCTAATCCGTCTACCAAAGCCAGAAGAAATAAAAAGAAGAGAAAGAGAAGAATAAGAAAGACCAAGGTGAGATATATCCATTTCCCTTTATTCTGTTAACGTCAAGTCTTCATTGATCCGTTGAACTTATTTAGCTAACACGGTATGTTAAGAGCTTAACAGAATTTCGAAGAGCCACAATTAATGAGCATGGAAGAAGTGAAAGAAAATAAAGAGAACCAGAGAGACAAGTTGGAGGAACTACAGCAAGAAACTGACGGTTCACGGATTATACAACCATGGACGAAGCAAATCACTGTCAGGGGACTCATTGTAAGCATTCTGATTGGGACCATTTACAGTGTGATAGCCATGAAACTAAACCTCACAACTGGTATGGTTCCCAATCTTAATGTCTCCGCTGCTCTTCTTGCCTTTGTTTTTATTCGGACATGGACAAAAGTTGTTCAAAAGGCTGGATTTATATCCAAACCTTTTACAAGACAAGAGAACACCATGATACAAACATGTGCAGTTGCATGTTACAGCATAGCCGTTGGAGGTTAGAAGCTTCAAGCATAAGCAACCTTTGAGGTTTATTTGCTTATTTTTCGGTTCTTGTAGTTCTCTCCTAACATTACATTTTTTGTTATGAAATGGACTGCAGGTGGATTTGCTTCTTATCTCTTGGGATTAAACAGGAAGACATATGAATTGTCTGGAGCAGACACAGTAGGGAACTCCGCTAACGGAGTAAAGGAACCAGGATTTGGTTGGATGACTGGCTTCCTTTTTGTAGTTTGCTTTGTTGGTCTTTTTGTCTTAATTCCTCTCAGAAAGGTATGTCTAAGTTTCTCTTAATAAATGATCAACAATAACTTTTTTTCTCCATCACCCTTTAAGTGTTATAAATAGTTGAAGATGACTTGCACAAAATTATGTCGTGAGGGGAAAAAGTGTTCTTTTTTTGCTTTTTCCTTGGTGTGTCTGATGTTTATGTTAATAGTGTCTCCTGCCAAAGAACATGTTTTCTGCATGGCGTTTGCAAAAGTGGGGTTTGGGACCGTGAAGGGTAGAAGTTCAGCCTTGCTAAAATGAGTGAAAGAATCACTATAGTATTATAAAGACAGGAGCATGTCAGAACATCCTTTTGAGCCTTTCTCTTTTTTTTGGAAAAGGTTCAAAAATTTTTCATGGAGTTCTTCTGTACAGGTAGTGATAGTGGACCTCAAGTTGACTTATCCCAGCGGCTTGGCAACTGCAGTTCTCATCAATGGTTTCCATAGCCAAGGCGATAAGGCGGCCAAGTAAGCATCCAGAGTTAACATTCCTTTGTTGGTTGCAACCAGTAGAAGAAGTTACGATGATCAATGGCAATTTATATTGCAGGAAACAGGTGCATGGATTCCTGAAGTATTTTTCAGCCAGTTTCATGTGGGGGTTTTTCCAATGGTTTTTCTCTGGGAAAGATGGATGTGGTTTCAAACAGTTTCCTACATTCGGACTGCAAGCCTGGAAGCAAACGTAGGTCTTTTGTGCCTGGAATGTTATTGAGCATACCATTCCATTTTTCTTTTGTCTGTTGCTTATATGACTAATCATTTCTTGTAGTTTTGTTGAATATGTGGTTTTCTCGCAGATTCTTCTTTGATTTCAGCCTGACCTACGTAGGAGCAGGAATGATCTGTTCCCACCTGGTTAACTTGTCTTTGCTTTTTGGAGCCGTGCTCTCGTATGGGCTAATGTGGCCACTTATCAATCGGCTTAAAGGAGATTGGTTTTCTGAGGATTTACAAGAAAGTAGCATGAAGAGTTTATATGGCTACAAGGTCTCGCATTTTCTCTGTCCTCAAAAACAGAGAAGTCATTAATCTACTATTCCGCTTCCGTAGTAGCATAAAAATTGTTTACAGAGCCATGTATATAACCGATAATTCTTGGTTGTCAGGTTTTTTTATCTGTTGCTCTCATTCTTGGTGACGGCCTCTACAATTTCCTCAAGATTTTGTGTTTCACGTTTATCAATATCCACGGGAGATTGAAGAACAAAAACCAAAATACAGGTAACAGAGCAGCATTCTCATCTTGTGTTTCCACTTTCCCGGGTGAAAAAGTTGAAGAGTTCTTTAATGCTCTATTGTCATCTAATGAATTTTGACAGTGACTCACCAACATATATTGTCCTTCTTGCAGCCGACGAGGATGACCAGAAGAAGACAGTTGAGGGTCTAAAACAAAATGAAGTTTTCCTCAGAGAAACCATCCCCATGTGGATTGGCATTGTGGGATACGTGCTTTTATCCATCATGTCAATTATTGTGATCCCAATCATGTTCCCTCAGCTCAAATGGTACTATGTGCTTGTAGCTTACATGCTTGCTCCATCTCTGGCATTCTGCAATGCATATGGGGCTGGTCTCACTGACATTAACATGGCCTATAACTATGGGAAAGTTGCCCTATTTATCTTAGCGGCATTGACGGGCAAGGAAAACGGCGTGGTCGCCGGGCTTGCTGGATGTGGTCTCATCAAATCCGTTGTTTCTGTTGCTTGCATTCTAATGCAAGATTTCAAGACAGCGCATTATACTCTTACCTCACCACGAGCAATGTTCTTGAGCCAGGCAATTGGTACGGCTATAGGCTGCATTACAGCGCCGCTTATCTTCTTCGTCTTCTACAAGGCATTTGATGTTGGAAACCCGTACGGGGAATTCAAAGCTCCTTATGCATTGATTTACAGAAACATGGCGATTCTCGGTGTACAAGGCTTTTCAGCTCTGCCTCAACACTGCTTGCAACTCTGTTATGGCTTCTTTGCTTTTGCAGTGGCAGTGAATTTGGTGAGAGATTTCTCACCGCATAAGATAGGGAAATGGATGCCACTTCCGATGGTCATGGCGGTGCCGTTTCTAGTTGGGGCATATTTTGCCGTTGACATGTGCTTGGGGACTTTGATTGTGTTCGTTTGGCAAAAGCTCAAAGCAAAGAAGGCTGAATTGATGGTTCCAGCCGTCGCTTCTGGACTAATATGCGGAGAAGGGCTATGGATTCTCCCTGCTTCAATTCTAGCCTTGGCCAAAATAAATCCGCCCATTTGCATGAAATTCCTGCCTTCTTAGAGAAATCGTGATAAATTGTTCTAGGAAGAAGAATATAAAGATCCAACGCTTATTCAAGGAGAAGACGCTCGCAGTGATCATCACAGGGTAGTAGACAACTCAGTATATTTACTATTTTTCAGAAAATAAAAACTCCAATCTTAGTTAAGATGGAATATCAACAGCACACACTCCAGCTGTTGCCTTCAAGTTTCCATTGCTTTGGCTGTTTTATTAAAAGGGTAAAGATCCGATTTTTTTTCTTAAAAAATAACTTTATAGTGGGGTTAATAATCAATAATGTTTCAAATCAGTTTACAAAATGGGCACAGGTCCACATTGAGAGATAACAACCAATAGTCTAAAACCACCTTTGCCAAGAAGATCACAAAGACCTGGAACATCCAATTAAAATGTAATTTTGTGAACCTAGACAAATACCGATATTTGCCCACCCTATACTGCTCTTATCAATCTCAGGAAAGTCAGACGGGAATTGTCCTACTCCTATAGAAAAACTCCTCGTTTCACTGGCCTCCGCTAGTTAGGAACATTAATACATTTCTATCAGAGAGACGGTGGGAGTGGAAACCAAGAAATTGCCACCCATTCACTTCCACTTTGGACATGACATAAGGGCTTTTATGTACAATCTAAAACATGAAATAAGGGCTGGCATTCAATGGGGAAGGGAAGAGTAGCATTTTCTAAGGAGATATGCCGCAGGAAAAGATATATGATATCAGCTGAGATACCAAATGAATAATTTGACAGAACAATTAGCTTAACCTTAGTATTCCAAAAATTTTGATAATATACATGAGTCAAATTAGATCCAACCAAATTTGAAGACAGATGTAAACAATCGTAATAAAAAATTGCACGCTCAATTACATGAGAAACACTTAGGCTGTAATGATACCTGCTAGAACATCAGTCTTACCTCGTGCATAAATTGTGTAAACTAAGCGGATAGCATCAAGCCATCCATCTAGGGATTCCCAGGAGTCAGCAACCTGAAGGGAAGAGCAGAAAATACTTACTAAAGCTGGATTGCCAAACATATATTGCTAAAACAGCATCCAAATGCCAAACATGGGCCTATCTTGCTAATAGTTGTTAAGTTTTGCCATCAGTATGAAAAATATAAGTCATTCATTATGATTTAAGAGGACATTTTTAGAATGAAAATATAAAGCACGATACTTACCAAGAAAACTGGACCGAGGGTAGTATCAATGCAGAGGCCTGCACCTGGTGGTAAAGTCAGATCAGCGCACGCTGATACAGAAACAATATCTGGAATATCAACTCTGATAGCCCTTTTATCGATATTTGCTACATCTGCAGTTCTGCCAGAGAGGCTGCGGGAAATTTGTTTCTGCTCGACCCTGATAACCTGCTCAATTGGAAAACAGAAAAGGACATGGAGAAAGAAAATGAAAGTCTGAACAGATGTGGTCTTTAACTAATATCAGATTAGAGAGAATTGCCAAAGCAATACATACATACAAAAATACAGTGACATAGACTAGCAGCATAAACTAGAGATAAACCCTATTCCCAGCTCTCTCTCAAACACACACACGCACGCACGCTCGCACTCACTCATACACCCTTAATTCTTTGATTAGCAGTTAAAATTAGTTTTGCCTTGATACCATCTAGGAATTAAAATGAAAGTGACCTACAACAAATATATATTTGCTCTTACTCTATTCATTCTGACTTCCCAAGGAAATAGGAAAACCAAAGTTCTTTTTCTTTTTGATTGTAGGAATAACATAAGTTCAGACATTAAATAAGAAAATTTCTTTGAAGAAATGAATCCTCATTCTCAGGAAAAAATGAAAATGGAACTTGTTATTTATTTACCATGGACAACAAAGAAACCAATCAGTTTTTTACCTGTTGAAGCGCTTCATGATTCAAAAAGAACTCTGTTCTCTTCCAATCACTATGAGGTGCAATTGTGTTTCCTGCTGGTGGTGCACTCAGATACCCATCTTTCAGATGGGGTAAAGGTAGCTGTCAAAATTTTATTTCTGTCAGATTTATAATAAAAAATAATTTCCCCAGCTAATTCTGAGTATAAACAGCGTGATGACAGCCACTATCATTTGGTCTAACCCACTCAATATTTTTAATCTAGCTGCGCTGCCAGTTTAAACATAAAATGAATAACTAAGAAAAACCCTCTTCCCTAACACACAGACACACTCAGAACAACAGGGGTAGAGAGAATAGGAATGCTGTTCCTTGCCATTATTTTTTTTAATAAAACCATATTTCGTACAGTTTGAACCCAAGATCACTACTCCGAGGAGGTAGTACTAGGCCATATTAACTAAAGGTTTTCAGAGTTACGGTGCTTTTGGTGATGGAAAGAATAGGATCATTTTCACTCTATCCCATATTTGGGTGCACTTAAAAGGGAGAATTGGATTGCAAAGAGGATTAATCATCCTCCTGATATAGGATGACTCAATCCTCTGGAAATGAGGGAGGATTATTTTTAATCTTATGGGACTGGATGATAAATGCTTTGCATTTTCCATATTTCCCCTAAAACTTACATCTAAAGATTTAGTTTGGCTAGCCCAATTTTGTTTCCTTTTTTATTTTTCTTTTTTTTCCCTCTTTTTCTTTTTCCTCCTTCCGTTTAGCCCCATTTCCGGCCAACATTAACACTGGCAATACAGCTAGAGCACTCTGTGATGCAAGATCCGATCAAAAAGGGGCCGGATTGGAACTCCTGATGCCAAAATGACACTAGGAGTGGCCAGCAGCAGCTTCGTCTAGTGGCTCTAGCTGCTTCAGCCATCCAGATCCAGCCCTCCCCATCCGATGGCTGCCTTCTGGCAGACCAGAAAGAAAAAAAGAATAAAAAATAAAAAACTGAGAAAGAAAATACATTTGGATACTTTTCTTCTTTGAAAAGTAAAATATAATTATAAAAAATTAAATTAAATATATTCTTGCTCAAACATTTTAAATTCTATTTATAATTATTAAATTATAAATTTAAATCATATTTATTTTAAGAAAAGGGTAATTTTGACCATTGAAAGAGATCATTCTATTCTATCCTTAATCTTACACACACCAAACATAGGATAGGATGATATTATCTAATCCAATCCACTTCCTTATCTTATTTTCTCCTATCCTAACCATCATCCTACACACCAAATACACCCTATGTGTCATTGCTTCTATTTGAAAAAGAAATAAACACTCTTGGGGGTTTGGATTGGCATCAGTAAATAGGTTCATATCCAAGCCAAAGGAATACAATTCGGAAAAAAAAATGGATCAGGCATGTAGTTCTCTACAATGAAAGGACATTTTGCATCAGAACAACAGTTTCTGGTGCACCCTTAAGGTGCAGTTATGTTGCACTGATAATTGACAATTGAAACAGCGCTGACACACTAACATGAAAGAAATGTGGACTTCAAGGATCACACCTAAAAATATTCCTCTTACTACTTAAAGATCCACAAAAATGCTCATCAACCAGGAAAAGGAGCAAGAGATCATTCTCATAGGTATAGATTCCACTTTCCTTACAGATGATTCAATCTATTTAGAAAAGAATAAATCTCAAAAGAGGATTGAAAATTTAAACACTGACCATTGAACGAACAAGTCGCAAGGCACTGCTGTAAACCTGTATGTTTCAAAACATCAAATAAGAACACATCCACAAAACTAAGATGGGAAGTCAAAGTGCACAACTCTGAAACTTTAAGTTAAGGAGAAAATAAAGAAATATATCATTAGCTTTCCTGAAAATTTAATGTTTACAAAATGTCAAATTTATGCTACAAAATTTCCTTAGCCAATAATTATGCCACCCGTATAGCCTGAAAGTGAGACTGCATCCAGTCAGTAAACCTCTATAGTCCGAAAAACACACTGATCTCTTACCGAGTAATTTGGTTTCAATGCATGAGCAGCTGCAATGTAGATAGCAGATTGGCTATAAAGCTCATTTGGGGAAACTTCTTTCAGATTCGTTGACCCTCCAGTTCTTAAGGTATCCTCAGCTAAACCATACTGTAATAAGAATATAGATATTTCAAGTTTTGAATTTATACTTAACTTGAATGAAATGTTCAGATAATGAAGTCATTATCTAATCTCATTAATATCATGAAGAAATGAATTCATAGGTGAAAATAGGATCATGCCATGCAGAATAAGAACTGCTAACCAACAAACTTACCAGAACAGTTCCAAGGTTGTATATTGCTCGATGGAAATCAAATTGCAACTGTATTGCTGCACGAAACTGCATTAGAAGTAAAGGTTATTGTAAGAATACAAATGCAACTAGAAGCTATTCTTTAAGGACATATCAGATGTCAAATTACTTTGCTGCTTGTTCCTAAAGTCATCCAAGTACTCTGATTTCTCCAAATGACTTTTGTACCTTACTAATTGCAGTCCTCACAATTCTTTGCTTCTCTCGTGCTGGAACAATCGCACTGAGTTCCTAAATAAAACATGATAAGACATGAAAGTAAGCAAAGCATCCTAGGACTTCATAGAAGTAGTCTCAGAATTTAATTCGAAAGATATAGAGATAAATGAAGACGATCGTAATAGCAACATCACTAAAACAGTGTACCTGAAGCGCAAGTCCCCAATTGTTTAGCGCCTGAAAGAGATTCAAGCATCCTTATAATCACTAACAGGTAGAATCAAAATGAAAAGATGCAGGCGTTCTAGTTAGCAGAATTACAAGACTAACCAAACAATTACTTCAAATATACCTGAGGGCTGTTCCAGTTGAGCTGGACAGCTTTTTCATAGTTTTTTGTTGCCTGCAAAACCATAACAATAAGATAAGGCTCTATTAAACACAAGGTCAAGGTTTTTATTCACTACAACAAAGCATTTCTTAGAAAAGGCCAAGGATTTCTACACAGCAGTACTGCAAGGACAACATGTTGCAGTACTAAGCTCTAGAATGACTATATACCAAAATTATACAGTCAAAACCAATTTCCATGGTTCTTTGGCCTTGTTAAAATGGATTATGTAAAGCATGCAATTAATATGAAACAGAACAGGAAATAGAATCTTATCCACACATGGAAAAAGTTTTCCACACCATGACACCAAGATTTTCCAACAAAAGGCTAGTGTTACTCATTCATAAGTCTAGCATGACTGAAATACCAAAATCATATAGTCAGAACCTGCTCCCATAGTTCTTCAGCTTCCTTGGTCCGTCCACGCATTTTTGCTCGATCAGATATTGCTATTGCCCAGTTGTAGAAAGCCTGTCAAGTAATGACATTGCATCAAAGTCATGTGACTGTATATCATGAATATGTATTATACAGACTCATTTCTGTGTGTGTATATATGCACTTATACACTTAATTTGCTGTGATTAAGATTTATTAGGTGCCCATGTAAGCAATCTGAAGGACCATAAACATAAACGACCAGAAAATTTTCTGCAATGTAATTTATTAAAGAAACAATAATCAGTCATTAATCCTTCAAATAGTTTTCATGTTCCAGCAAGAAATAAGAAACCTAACACAATAAAATTGAACTCTCCAAAAGTGCAAACCAGAAATGCTCAAA